CAGAAACAGTATGGACAAATGTTACACTCTACCTGATGGCCAGGTCGTATTTTACATTTGTCCGCGTGTGTCCAGATCCTCTCGGCCATTGTGAAGATCATGAAGGAGTGTTGGTACCAGAGCCCACCAGCCCGACTCACGGCCCTGCGGGTGAGGAAGACGCTGTCCAAACTGGACCATGACAGTGACTTCAGCATCGAGAAACTCAAGCAGGACGTCTAGAGCAGAGAACCAGGATGAAACAGGGACACAAGATTGAAAATGCAACAAGGGATTGTGCAACGCATTCTGAGCAGCACAAGGTGCATATCATTAGCATATTTTGAGCTAATGACTCACACAGCCACTGCATTACATTAAAACCATATGACTTTGAACAGTAGTGTCTAGACCGTCTTACACCCAAGGCTATGTTTTTTTTGTTTTTTTTTGTGAAGCCTAATTTTCAACTCCCAGATTTCTGGTGCCTCAAACCATGAGGCCCCTAAAAGAAAACCATTAAAGGCCAAAGATTTTTATTGAGGTATTTTTCCTTTTATAACGTTCAGTCCATCATCCTGACAGAAAGGAAAATCTCGCACAGCACAATTGCTCATCCTCTCATCAAAAAGAGGAGCTCTGATAATCAGTTTATCACTTCACTATAAAATAAAGGAAATATCATCATGTTCATACCAAAGCACATTACCTGTTCTGTAAGAATATTTAACTTATAAACTTATAAAATGAGCATTTATTATCTGCACATAGTCACATTGAACTATTTAGTTGTACATATTCTAACAGCATTAAAGCTGTTGTCTTGTATCACTGTTGAGTTAATTGTAAATATATTTCAAAAGGGGTATTATTTCCTTTTTATTCAACAATGAGACACGTTTTATATCCATTTGTACAACACAACGTTTCAGATTATTTTTTTACGTTTCCGTAGGCCCACATGTACCATCACCATCACTATGGTCAGTAAAGGATTTCACAAACAGACATGTAATGTTTTATATGTTGAATAAAGGATTGTATTTTTCAAATGTTTGTGCTGTAAATACAGTTTTGTACCACTGAGGTTTGCAGCTCTTACATTGGCCAGTAGAGGTCATCAGATAACAGATAAACAGCATAGATCTATGTTGCTTACAGTAATGCAGCTTGCCTTGGGAAATTTATGGTGTAATTGGTTTCGCAATCATGTTTTTGTTTGCATTGCATCATCTTCAAATTATTAGACACACAGGTTAAGACAAATGTGTCATCATGACAATGAAGTATTGTCAACGATCATCAGTAGCAGGGTAAAGTAAGGGACTGGTTAACCTACAGGTCCTATATACAAGAAAGGTAACATGACATTAAGATAAGAACATGATCTGATTTTCTCTTAGTCACACTAATTTCACATAGTGAGATGCTAAAGTAGAATAATATGAATAGAAGAATGTAAGGCAAATCTGACTGAATGGGGACTTCAAGAAGAGACATAAAAATAGCTGATATACTTTTGATTATACTGAATTATTCTAAGTAGTTATTGGTGTAATATGCTCTAAACATTGAAAATACTAATGCAATCTTTCATTTGTTATAATTTATGCCGTCAGTGCAAACTGAAATAGGCCTGTCCAATTCAAAATGTTATGTATATATACTGTCGCCCATAAAGTTGGAATAATTTTGTTTTTAGACACAATCCTCTGCTTATTCCTATTTAAATGCATCAGTAATCACTTTTGACCAGGTGCAATGATTACATTATGTGTCCCAATTACCCAGGTGAAATTGAAATAAATCAGATTGTCACAATGATTTCATGGAAAAGAAAAAAATATTTTATTCCAACTTTGAGACACAGTGAATATAATTATATATATATAATATATTATATATATATATAACATTTTGTTTAATTTGAGTGAGTCACAAATCTAACCACTACCAATTTTAGCTTTGACCCCATAGTGTACGATCAGGTGTCACATGTATCTCATTTTATAGACACTTTGTCTAAAAAAAAATTAAGTATTGCTATATGATCTGGTGAGAAAATGTGTTCAAGGTGAAGCACAAAAGCAACAAGTTAGAAGTGTTGAGACTGTCACAACAAATACAAAATGTCTAACAAGAATCAAAATTGTCAAAATAGTTACCACTTGCCCTGGTTGGTAAAAAAAAGTAACTGTATCAGCTTCTTGCCTTCATGTAATATCTGCATGCCAGTGTTTTCTTTCTGTATCTGTCATGCTTGTACTTCTTTATCTGTGTGTGTGTGTGTGTGTGTGTGTGTGTGTGTGTGTGTGTGTGTGTGTGTGTGTGTGTGTGTGTGTGTGTGTGTGTGTGTGTGTGTGTGTGTGTGTGTGTGTTGTTTGTGTCCGTGGTTGTTGAACAAACTCCAGAGAGATAATACTCCCTCAAAGCCCCAATCTGTCTGGTCAGTCAGATGAAGAGCTGGTTATTTTTAACACCGCAGGGGGGGTTGTTCAAGTATCAGAGAGGCCAAACCCCCTGTCTGTGAGTGCCGAAGCCCATCTCACTTCTCCCTCTGTTTCCCTCCTCTGCGTATTCTTTTTCACAGTGGGATCATTCCAAATGGCTCGGTTGAGACAGAGGGATTTGTTCAGCAGACAACGTGCACTGAAGAAATGTGGAGATAAATTGGACAGGGCTGATAATGGACAGACATAAGGCCACAAGAGGAGAATATGCAGACACAATTAGGCTTGAGGATAGGATCAGTGAGAGTGCTAGCAAGAGGATGGGTGATAAAAGCAGGCGTAGATAAAGTCCCAAATGTACCTGGTTACAGCCTGACTCACCCCTTCCTGAGCTACACTCTCAATCAGTGGCAGCTGGATGTGTTAAGTATAGATGGACTGGGTAACCAAGCTGAGAGAAAACCATGAATGGATCCAGAACACCTTTTGTGAGTTTGATAGCTGCAAACGGATATAACATCAACTCAAACTAATTTGGTGTCAAATTTTGATCAGGGGACTACTGGACTGCTATCCTGTCAATAAGGGATTTGATTGATGATGAATCAGTCATTGACTATGGATGGATACACATGTTTGTCACACAGTCTGACCTAATACTGGCGCCGCCTGCAAATGTAGAAAGGCCCAAAGTCACCTGCTGTGCATATAAAGCCTTTCATTTAGAGCTCTTCCCCTGCTGCCTCCTAACCCACAGCCATAAAAAAGTAAAGTTTAGTGAGTTGTCTGTCAAAGCCAAATCGGGTTCCTCCTCCATTTGCATTGTCATGCCTGACTTTAAATTTCTACTTTGAATGTAGGTGTAGCTTAGTTTAATTTAGAATCATGAGTTTTGTGACTGACTTCAGATCATTAAAACTCAAATGAGTCTGTCAGTCATCAGATCATTTTCACTATTATCATTATAAATCATCTTCATGAAACGTTTTATGTCATGAAAAGAGACATTTTTGCATGTGAAGTAATACTGCCAGGGGATGGTGGATGTTTAGACCCAGTTTATTCCCTGAATACATTTTGTCTCTAATAGATCAGTCACCCAAAGTAGAAACTTGATTAATAACCTCAATCAGGAACCCAAATGAATAAAAACAGAGTCACTCCTGGCAGTTGAAATGGATGTAACCACTTTGTATTGTTGCTGTTTGTTTCATGTTGTGAAACCAATAAACAGATGGGAAAAAACTTAACCCAACATATTCACTCTGATTTAATCTCCGAACCACAGAAATTAAAGTAAAATCATTCAGACTAATCTGATAATATATAGAAGGTGATGCCGTTTTTCTGATAAATTACAGAACAGCAATGAACAGCAACAACAGAGGTGTGATCAAATTATTTTCACAGTTTTTACCCTTTGTGACATTATTTTTTTTTTTTAAGTGAAACCTGTTTATGTCATGAAAAGAGACATCTTATGATTTGGAAGAGTGGAAGCCAGATAGACTCAGTTTGTTCCCTGAATGCATCTTTGTTTCCAAAACATCATTCACAAACTGCACAGTGTTTAGTAATGACCTCAAATGGAATAAGCAAATCAAAACCAAATTTAGCCAAAAGGTTTAGTATGATATCATCTTTAGGACATTAAAAAAAATCACATTTTCACATGTTTTTCTTAAATGTGAACAAAATTTGTTTTGTTTTGGGTTTTTTGAATGTTGTTTCGACAACAAAAGCAATCTGAATATGTTAACTTGTGCTTCAGGGAATAGTGAGGTTGTTTTTGCTGACATTTTATACATTGAACAATCAGTTGATTATTAAATGAAAGTAACTGTCAGACCTATACAGAGTGAAAATAATCATTGAGTGCAACCTTACAGTACTTCCCTGATGGGATAATCCTACCTCGCCCAAAATATGCTGTGTGTGTTAATTTTATTTATTATTTATTTCTTAAAATTGAAATTTTAAAATTGAAATTTTATAAAACACAATTTTACAACCATGCTGGTCTTGAAAACAGATTTTATACAAAATGGAGAGTGGAGGACCCATCATTGCTGATTTTGCACTTCATTATTGAGATATTCTAACTAACGTTTGATAACTCAAATTACATGTAGATCCAAATTAAATGTAGAGAACTTGCGGTTTTGAGGGCCCCCTGGAGGTCTGGGGCCCGTGGTAATGGGTTGACCTTGGGGAACTGCTTCTGTTTTAAAATATTAATCTGATTTTTTTTTTTTTTTTTCCTCTTTACTGCACTTTCTTTGAAGTTAACTGATACAAATTCAAATTAATTTTTGACTTTACCTTTGACGCCTACAACTTCTGCACAGTTACTGAACATAGTTTGTCTTTTAATAATCTGGGACTGGAACATTGAAATTCTTACCTCAACTTTTTATTTTCAGCACTGCCCTGACCTCGGTGGCAGACGAGGCCATGCAGCAGCAGCAGCAGCGGCGGCAACAGCAGCGGCAGCGGGCCCTCCCCTTTAAACACGCACACACACCCCTTTAAATACGTCACTAGCCTGGCTGGCTGGCTGGCTGGCGAGTATCTGGCGGTGTGGTGTGTGCGGTCGGACTGTGGTTGTGTTTCAGGTCTGGTCGTGTTGATAACGACACACTTAGGACGCATTTCATCGCGGAGAGATGGGAATTCAGAAGAAATGGCTCTAAATCAAATTGCCCTGCCGCTGCTGGCCCTGTTCGGGTTGGTGGCCGTCGGTAATGGTAAGTTTCATGTGAGCACCTCTCCGGCTTTTGTCTCGATGTGTTTTCCTGGACTGGGCATCGCCTGTTGTCGCTCATCGCCATGGCGCTGTGTATCGGGGATTTGGCTAACCGTATCTAGCTAGCGTCGACCTCAAAACCACAGCTGCTCTTTGTCCGAAACAAAAGTCATGCTTTTTGGGTAGTTTGTTCTTGATTGTGATATTTATCGACTGGCAAAACCCCGACGTGTTAATGATCGGCATTGAACACGGAGCAAGTAGCTAAACCACAACAACAACATGGTGGGGCTGTTTGTTACGAGGCGCCAGCTAACGTTTGCTAGCTAACTGGATAATCAACTGACTAAAGTTGAATATTGTCAATAATTGTGCTTCGTCTGTGGGCTACAAGACTGAAGTAAAATCATTTTGTTATGTCGCACGAACACATCAAGTGGCGAGTAATAATCTACAGTCTAGTGTTGATGTTGAAGTTATCTCTCAGCGGCTGTTATGCTAAGATATTTACCAAACAATCTCCTGTCGGCTTGTGACTGCTTATCTCTGCACTGCTTGGGTACAACACCATGCAGTGATAGCTGGCTGGTTAAATATGTGCAGTGTGGTTGCATGTTGTGAGCATTGGTCTCCACAATGGAAAGAGCAGAAAGGAGTCTGTGAAGGAAGGCCTAACCTACTTTGTGCATGAAATGTGTTTTTGAGAGTAAATACTGGCAGCTCTTCCATTGGTGTCCATTTGTAAGGAGTGAAAAGGCTCCTTAGTGGCCTCCAGCAGAAAGTGAATGCTGGCATAGGGTGACAACAGCCGTGCATTCAGCTATCCCAGACAGAAGTCAGAGTTGAAGTCTGGGTTCATTGTGATGGAAATGTGGCAAGTGGGGTCTTTTGAGGCGCCAGTTATGGGGCTGCTTCAGTCTGAATCCTCCCGCTGGAGCAGCTGATCCCCAACACCACATCACTGTCTCAAATGGGCAGATGTTGTGCTAAAGGTACGTGTGCCTCTACGGCATGTCCACTCATCTTTGACTTTGTGCCAAACACCCAACTTTTACATATAGTCATGTCATGTGTTGCGCAAAAACCCTTTTTTTTTTGCTCTTCCTGGTGTCTTTAAATTTTGAGGCTGTTTCACCTTGTTGCAACTTGCCGCTCAGCCAGTGAACTCAGTAATAAAAAGACAAAATTCAGTTGTGTGTGCCAAAAGAAATATCCTGACTTCACTGTCATCTGTTGAAGTGTGTGTCTTGCCTTAAACAGTTGAGTCATCCTTCCAAGAAATATGAAAGTATGCCCACCCCCGCTTAGTTTAGGTAAGGGTGCAGTTTACCATGTCCGATTGTTTTATGTAAGGCATGCAGGGAAAATGATCACACCTGAGTGGCTAGTTTGTTTGACTGGGTTACTCTAACATTAACAGTGATGTGTGAGGGGAACGTGGGGGTGGGTGTGTGGCCTGAGCAGACAGGGGGTGAGGATGGGTTTGTCCAGCTGGCGAGGTCTGTCATGTAAGGGGCCCACAAGTTTGTCTGGAGCCATGGTTTCACACCATATAATGGATTACACCATGCAAGGGCTGAAACCAGACAAACCTGAAAGTAGCTGTGCCAGAGCAGATTCCAGGGCTGTGGCAAGTGTAGTATGTTTTTGTGAGAATACACTTTACTCACATGTTTGATGAATCTGTCATGTGTTGTTGACTTCATAAGGATTAAGAGTCAGTGGTGTTATGGGCATTACATGCCTGCATGACGCAGTCTTCCTGGGTGCATTGAACACAGTAGCAATGTGATATGGGCACTGTCAACCACACTGCCGTGAGGTAGGGCGCGTCCGTCTCTTTCTCTTTTCTTCCCACCCTCTCCAATCTCTCTCTCTCTCATATAAAAGGCCTGGTGCTTTATCAGAATTTAATCTGTACTTTGTTATCTTTGGTCCCACTCCTGCTTTCACTTACTCACTGCCACCACAGGCAGCTGAAGAAAACTTCAGCATTGGCTGTGTGTGTTTGCTTGATTTTTTTTTTAGTTTTTCTAGGTTAAAACAAGCCTTTAGAGATGAGGTCCTGCTATTTCTTGAACTCTGCACTGACTTTTACTAACCCCTTCACATATTATCACTAGCCCTGCCAGAGCCTTGTCATTCCCTGATGCGCGTCAAAGTGTGAATCAAAGACAGAGCGATTGGAAAACAGACAAAAGTCCCTTCCTCTTAACTTGTTCACAGACCTGCCTCTGGTACAGGTGCTGTTTAATGTCAAATTTGATGTGAAGGAGTTCAGGTGGAGAAAGTATGAGCTAGTCAGATTGGAACATGTGTACACCTGCCCATTAGATCAGAGCCAAGGAAATGTACGGAGAAAGGTTGAAACTTATTGGGTTCAAAGGTGTGTGCATGTGAGGAGAGGAGAGTTTGCTCAGGAGAGGGAGGGAGAGAGGGAGGGTGGTTGGTTGGTTGGTAGTATTTCCAGCTGTTTTAAGGGAGAAAGTTGTTTTGTTTTTTTCTGAAAGGTGTAGCAGTTGTCGAGGCCCGTTCTAGATAGACTGATGTGTAAGCTGCCAGGTCCCTGCAGCAAAATCATGCTCAAATGAAGTTGCACGCCCCCTGTATAAATGTCATGTTACTTCCTGGCCCAAAACTACTTCTTTTACCATTTGTGTTTACCAACACTTTCTATAATGTGGCACTGAGCCAGAAAGGGTCAGGTCAGGTCTGGGGTGGTCTAGTTTTCCCTCCATAATGACCAGTGTTGTTAATGACCTCCGTTGGCCCAGAGGCACAGAGCCCTAATTGCTACAGCAGACAGCATAGCCCCTGACTGACCCAGCTCCGCCATTACTGATGTTGGACCACAAGGGATTACTACCACAGCAGAGCCAGCCCACTTCTCAGTTGCCCACTTCTCTAAGCCATTAAGTTACACAGAGCACTTTGTCTTTTTTTTTTTTTCTTTTTTTTTTTAAAGGGTTTTTGTAGTATGCATTGGTAGTACAGCGACATTTGCTTGTTGTGGTAAACCTTAAATGTTCATGGTGACAGCGAGGTTATTATTGTCACAGTACACCCAGACAGACCTGGTAGCTGTGCGAGTTCATGTCTATAGGGCTAAACCTGACACCCGTCCTCCAGTACATGTCTCTTTGTAGAGGTGTTTGATTTGTTTTTTTGGCTGCTGTTGGAATGCAGATTAGACCTGCTCTGCCTCCCATTTTCTGCTGGAAGGTGTGCAGTCTACTTGTCAAGTTTTCTCCAGCACTTCCCTGACAATGATTTGCTTTGATTTTTGAGGTTGGTAAGACTTTTTTTTTTTTTTTTTTTTTTTTTTGCTTGCGGGAATATCGTTTGAGTGTATATTGTCTAACTAGTTCTTGAATTACAATTTAAACCTCTACCTTTTTGCTTTATTACTCTCAGGCCTCCATGGTGACATTACCTTGAAATGAACCAATGTGTGTTTCACTTGGCAGTCAAACAACCATCCTTGCAACAAACTCCAATATGCAAAGTTGTTCCTTTTCTGACTAGCAAATGTAATTTTATTTGGATGGTATGATTTCTGTATTAATATGGCAGTCATACACAGTCCCTGTGTATCTCCTACACAGCAATGATAGGAGTGGACTGTTTGATGATGATAAACAGAGGAAGTTGTTTTGGTGTATTAAGTTATCTAGCTTAAGCACTGTATCCAAAATAATTGTAGATGATCATCATTTTTTGTTTTTCCACTAACAACTGCATGGCATCATTATCCAAAATTTAAAAATCATATTTCTGATTTCTTGTCAGTTGTCTTTGTTTTTTTTTGTTTTTTTGTTTTGTTTTTTCTCTGCTTTGTTTTGAATTGGTAATTTAAATAATGAAACCATGCATCACCAAAAATAAATGTCATGAAATTAAGTACAAAGTACTTTTTGTAAAAAGGAGGTAGCCATCAATCTGCCGTGGTAGATGGTAGACATCAATCTGGAGTCATCCTGAACTGAAGCAAGAGCTCGGTATCGTCTGAAAATGTTCTTTAGTAATGCCAATGCAATGCACGAGTTTCAGTACTGATACTTTTCATATAAACCCTTTGTTTTTCATGTAAGTAAAAGGCTAAAGTTTTAACTGTTTAATGTTGTCTAAACCCAAGCAAACATGAACATGCCAAATTAGGCAACATTTAGTCAAAAAAAAGCCATTTGTTTTGTTTTCAGTAATAAAACAGTGTTGAGGTTTGACACCCAACCATGACTGTAGCAGGAGTAAAACTTGAACAACAGTTGTAGGAAGACAGAAAAAAGGGGTAATTGTTAAGTCCCTGGTCAGCTAATACTCAGAAGATTTTTTAAGCTCAAGTCACATGGCTGATGCATTGGCTCACAGTAGTGCAATGTACCAGGTCATCAAAGAGGCAGCATTGACCAGTGGGAATTTGAGCGCCAGCACCAGCATCAGCAGCATTTCTGAAGTGAGCCTGTGCTCACACTTGTGCCTACGAACTCATTAGGACAGCAGACACTCACACACACATACAAACACACACATAGCACACATAACAAACAGACAGACAGACAGACAGACAGACAGGATGTAGCCTAGAGGGTAGTGGTTGGTAGAGATAGTAGAAGCAGCCTCAGCCCCAGAGACCTTACTTTAGAATCAGATCAGTAATCTGACCCTCAGATGCAGACAAAGGTAATGACTTTCCTCCTTCCCCTAGCATTGATTAGGACACAGTTGTGGTGTGTGTGTGTGTGTGCGCCCGTATGTGTGTGTTGCACTCACGCTGTCTGGTGGCGTCTGCTTGTCTTGATCAGCTCTCAGTCTGGTATCTGTATGGATCTAATTTCAGCCAGTGCATTTTGGTAATGGCGCTCTGCTCCCCGTACACACGCACGTACCGACTGTCTCTGCCTGCGTCACTTAGCCCTCAGAAACCCACTGTGTTTGTGTAACCCCGCCGTCCCGCGCTGAGCACGCTTAGAGTATTTTCCACAGACTTTATCAACTTAACATACTTGACAGTTCACCTCTGTTTTGACAGGGTTGCTCCGCACGAGTAAGTCTGAACAACACATGTATACACTCACGCATACACAAAACATTGTCATCAAGGTTAAATCTGTAAAGGTGTTTGGAATGGGACTATGCTGTGGTTTTTAGTTGGGTCCAAGTTAAGACGACACTGGTTATGGCAACAATGTTTTATTAATCCCCTCCTCACCATGTCTGCCATTTCCTGTCTCAACATGAACGGAATGATAGGAACTTCACACACTTGCAGCTCAAAGGAGTAACTGTTTTTGCTGTGTTCTCCCCTTTTTTCCTCCACCGGTCCCTTTTTTCCTGTTATATACCCCCTCCCACAAGTCAAAGTCTAGACTGGGTTTTTAATGACGGACGCAGCTGGTCACTTGGGTAGACCTCAATCGCAGCTGGGGGGCTCTGTAAGTCCCGCTCGTTACCCCCTCTGCCCCCTCCTGTCTGTATTGTCCTGCCCAATTTGGGACCAGCCCCCATCCTGTCTGGCCCAGAGCAGCCCCCAAACATCGGGGTTGTTACTGCTAACCCTGGGCTGTCCCCTGCGCGCCACCCATCCCCCCATCACTGCCCGACGCAGTAGTGCGCTCCCCCACTCCAGTCTGCTCTTTGTTCGTGCAGGGCCAGTCCAATCCCTCCTCATGTCGTCTTAATCTCCACACAAAGGACCAGTGTAAAGACCACCAATTATGTGGATACAAGAGCAGAGTTCACTCAAACCACACACACCCAGCCAATACTCAGATCCATGTATATTTAGGCTTGGTATTATTCCTAGCCTAGCTTTGTTACACTTCTGCTCTGAATCAAGTGAGATATGCAGAGCAAACGACATGGCATTTGGGTAAATGCTAGCGAGCCAGGAGTTCTTACTTGGACACTGTTTGATTTAGTTACATACCTCTTATTTTTGAGGTCATGGTTTCACATTGTGTCAGTATAGATTTTCCTATAGAGGTATCCCTTTAATATCTCTGGTCGGGTTCTAATGGGAAATGTTTGCAAATCAATGAACACAACTGTTTTGTGACAGTATTGGGTTAACAGGATTTTTGCTTCAATGTGATGAATGTTGTTTGTTAGGTAACAGGATTTATCCATAAATGGTTTTCTATCTCTGTCATTATATAAAATTACATATTCTGTCATGGATTTGCTCCATATTGGTTACACAGTGTTGTTGCTTGTTTGTGTGGAAGCAGCCTACATATGGTATAGTCACAAGGTAGCCTTTAAGGAAGGGGGAAGACTTGCCACAAAACAAACTCTTGGTTGACCACAAACCATCCGTGGCAGACTGGAGAGGGGAACGTGTGTGTTTTCAGCCATGTTTGGTTTCCTTCCTGAGCTTCTGTCTGTATGTCTGTGTACCATCTGTCCTACCACACACAGAGTCTCCAGGATGCGCCTGCTCATTTCAGATCATGGTGTTCTTACCAGCTTGCTGTTGTTAATTTTATTGCTGTATATTAGTGCAATATGTTTGTGGTAGGAACTCTTTTACAGTCTTCAGTTTGATTCTTGTGAGAAAAATGAAGGACATAAAGTCTAGTTTACATCAGGGCTGTATTGCGCCTGTGCTGTGGAGAAACTCTTAATGTATGTTGTTTTTTAAAATGTCACTCTTGCTTTGAGGATGGATTGATCAAAAATGATTTGATTTATTTCAGTGAGAACCAGTTAACAGCGGGCCTACAAAAGAGGAGCCGATGGAAGGAGGGTTTCAAGTCATCTGAATTTAATGGATATCGAGCGTTGTCCAGCTTTTTAACCTACTGCAGTTACTCATGTCATCTGTTCTATTTTGCTAAAATATTTGCTCCATTAATGCTGCAGATTAGCGTGATGTGGCACAGGGCTTGTTTTTCTCTCTTTATCAGCCCCAGCCTGCTTCACCTCCGTGTAATCTGCAGGAAATTCCATCTGCATGCGAACTTTGGTGAATTTGGACACACTCCACCAAGAGTTCCTGCCACTTTCCCGCTCACCTCCCAGAGAGCAAGACACACACGCAAACACCAAACAGATGAGAAATATTCCTGAAACCCTGCTCCAAGTGTTCCACATTTCCAGTTACCAGTCAGTGGACAAGCATAGACACATCAGCAAACACGCTACATGCAAAAAATGCTCCCACACAGAACGCAACCTCCCACAGTTCAGTCGAGTGGAAACCACTCCCATGACACAGGGGTTTGCGGTTTTGTCCACTTGGATGTTACATGCTGATGGTGCAATCAGTGTATCAGTCATTTTCAGTAATTTTTTTTGTTTTTGGGCTTTTCTTCAGAAGAGCCCCATAGTGTGATGACTCAGTTGGTTAAAGAATGCGTTAAAATCTGCTGACACCTTTTTGACAGAGTCGGTACAAACAGGGAAGATCAGTGAGCTCATCTGGTCAAAGAAACCCTCAGGATAAGACACAGGGGATTAGTGGAAGCTTGCCACTCTTAGAATCTTTTCTTTCCTCTGGGCCAGACATTGTCAGTGGTCCAACTGATGCTGAGCCTTTTTTTTTTTTTTTTTTTTTTTTTTTTTTTGTAAGAGAACAAGGATTGAAATTCCTCTCTGCTTTGTGTCTCCTCCTCTGTTGTTGTTGGTACGATGGTCATGTCTTCGGTAAGTCCACAGCGATTAGTCTTGAGTGGTCCAGCCTTTGTCTTGACCAAGGATCAGCTCTTGGCCTGTCACGCCTCACTCACGGCCCTGTTGTCAGTCATTTACCACTGACTGGGCTTCAGTTGAGTTTAGCTGCTTCCCTGTGTTTTTCCCATGTGAAAACTAGTCCCACAGCCATCTGACCTATCCTGCTCCTGCTTTGCACTCTGGAAGCAGAAAACCCTGGAAGAAGCCTTCTGTGCTGACCTTACTCCAAATAAGAAGCATGTGTGCTGTGACTGAAAATCACATTTCACTCCAAATCTAATCAGTTTGCCGTTTCTTGTTCTCTGGGTTGCTCAGCAAATGCTGGTTTTGGTTTTGGATGCGGCAGATATGTGCGGACTTTCTGGCACTGACCTCATTTGAGCGTGTAGGTGGACCATTGTAGTTTTATTACAGCGGTAGCAGGAGTTCCATTCTGTCAGCTTTAATAGGTCCCCGCGCAGGAGTGTGCTGTGTTTAATAAAACTCCTGTCTCATTAGCTTAAACAGTGGCAGCTCTCTGTGTCGGTGTGAGAAAGACAGAGGAGAGGCATGGAGCAGAATGCTGCATTGGGGATTTGGCAGGAGCCGTCTCCCGTTGTTGGGTTTCACTTTGTCTGTCCCACTGGGCAGGTCCATCTCCACCCTGCGTGTTTGGGTTCATCTGCAGTGACGGATCTGATTTCAGGGCCGTCGAGGCTGTCTGGCTGCTGCTGTGTCCTTATGTCACAAAATGCCTAAAGCTGAATGGGATACTACACTCTTTACATCCTGTGTTGAACATGTGGGGTCAGCTTGCCCCCTGCTGGACATGATGGAGAAGTGATATAGATTTTTTTTTTTTTTACAGAGTGGTCCCTATATGATCAATTAACTCTCTGTCCTTTCCCACAGCTCTGCGTTGTAACTGTACAAACTGTGAGAAGACGGGCTATGAGTGTGAGACAGATGGCGCCTGCATGGCTTCTACATACTATATCCAGGGGAAGGAGCAACACGTACGCATCTGTATCAACAGGGACAACCTGGTCCCCCCTGGACAGCCCTTCTACTGTCTGAGTGCTGAGGGCCTGCTCAACACACATTGCTGCTATGTAGATTACTGCAATAGTATTGACCTGAAAGTCCCAGGTAAGGCTCCATCATAAGTATCAGACAGAGTTTCAGTTTAACAGCGACACTGTCAGTTGAATTTAAAGTAATCGGCCTCTGCTTCTCTTTCTCTTTCGTTTGCCGTCCTTAGTCCCAACAAAGGGGGGGAACTGGTCAGGCCCAGGCAGTCCCTGGGGGCCAGTGGAGCTGGTGGCGGTCATCGCAGGGCCAGTGTTCCTGCTATGTGTGCTGCTGATGGTCGGCGTGTTCCTGTTCCAGTATCACCAGAGGGCTTACAGCCACAGGCAGAGGCTGGAGGTAGAGGACCCCTCCTGTGACCATCTGTACTTGGCCAAGGACAAAACCCTGCAAGACCTCATCTATGACATGTCCACCTCCGGATCAGGCTCTGGTCAGTACATGCTGGAAAAACATGTCAAACACATTTTTAAAAAAACGCCTTTAATACCTTTTTGTCCTTTCCTGTCGGCGATAGCAGCAGCAAAACAGTCTTCCTTATGTCATTCTATAAATATACAAATGAGTGATCACTCAACTGCAACTCTAATGAAAATGATCCTGACCTAGAATCTACTGAGTGTACTTGCACCACCCCACATCTACAAAACAAGTCTACAGGGAACAATGGCTAATTTTTTGTTTGTCTCGCCATCGCCCCCTGCAGGTTTGCCTCTGTTTGTGCAGCGGACAGTAGCCAGGACCATCGTGCTGCAGGAGATAATAGGAAAGGGACGTTTCGGTGAAGTGTGGAGAGGGAAGTGGAGAGGAGGAGACGTGGCGGTGAAGATCTTCTCATCCAGAGAGGAGCGCTCGTGGTTCAGAGAGGCCGAGATCTACCAGACAATCATGCTACGACATGAAAACATCCTAGGATTCATTGCAGCAGATAATAAAGGTATGAAGATTGTGAGGATTTGGACTATTTACATGAACATTTCAGACATTTATCCAAAACATACGATGAAAGCAACATTGTTTAGGTGAGTTCCTAGACTCACCTACATTACAAGAAAAACGGGGTTCCCATAGGGGAGCCATATTTATCTGATATTTAGAAATTAAATTTTGAAGTTCTCACTATTAGTTTAAGCAAAATATCCATGAATTGAATTTGATACAGTGTAAATACTACACATGTTCTCTGACTTTTCTTTTCTTTTTTTTTCCCGCTCTCTGTCAGACAACGGCACATGGACTCAGCTCTGGCTGGTGTCAGACTATCACGAACACGGCTCTCTTTTTGACTACCTGAACCGCTACTCTGTCACCATCGAGGGCATGATCAAACTTGCGCTGTCAGCTGCCAGCGGCCTGGCACACCTACACATGGAGATCCTCGGCACTCAGGGTGAGATGAACGTGCCTGTTAAAACGCAGCACGCTGCAAATACGATGAAAAAAACGAACGAGCACAGCAGGAACACGAACGCGCACACATTGGTTATTTACGTTCTGCTAGCATGCGCTGTCTGTGTTGAGGAGGCCAATGTAACGATGTGTGATCTGTCCTTCTGCAGGTAAGCCTGGCATTGCTCACCGTGACCTCAAGTCTAAAAATATCCTGGTTAAGAAGAACGGCATGTGTGCCATAGCTGACCTCGGCCTGGCAGTCCGCCACGAGTCCATCACAGACACAATCGATATAGCACCGAATCAGCGCGTGGGCACTAAGAGGTAAATGTTTCCATACTCATTCACTCATAAGCACCCAAATGTAGTTAGACATTAGGGATCTCGCAGGTCTTTGAAGGTGAAGTGTCGGCAAACCCCATGAAAAGATCAAAAACAGCAGTGAAAAGATCCAACTAACAAATACTGTGTTGCCAACGGCAGATTATTACTCTGTGCCACAGTCCTCCGTGCTGTCCAGAAACTATGAAAAACACATTAATGAGCCCAGTGATTGAACTGTCTGACATGTTAATTACATTGAACATGGTCACTGTAGTACAAGTCCTGCATTCACCTCTGTCCTGCTGCTGACTACTTATCTTAAACCAATGCATTATTTACTCCTGTTTGAGAAGCGTTTGCTAAAACCTACAGTGCAATGTTTTGGTAAATTACTTATTGAAAGTGAAACTATGTATTTGTATTTATTTATTTATTTATTTATTTATTTATTTATTTATCGATATGAATTGTTGCTTTTGTATTTTTTTTCATGGAAGTTTTTGACTGTAACAACAAATACAGAACATCACCAACCTTATACTTTATTAAATTCCATGGAAGTTTATGAAATTAAAATTAAACATTTATTATTCTGAAATGAGTCAACAGCTTTTAAAAGTTTGTGACCTTTTTGTTTTTTTTTTTTATATTTTAGTCAGACTGATCCACTTCCTTTGGGCATGTCATTTATTAGACCTAAACATCACAATTTTAATTCCTTGAACCTTGAATTTCTCTAAGTATGATCATGGTAAAGGGGTCATAAGTCATATATAAATTCTCTTTTATTGCTATGACTGATTCCTACCCTTTGTGTCTGCCCTAGGTATATGGCTCCAGAGGTTCTGGATGAAACCATCAACATGAAACACTTTGATTCCTTCAAGTGTGCCGACATATATGCACTGGGCCTGGTGTACTGGGAAATTGCGCGTCGCTGCAATGCAGGAGGTAAGACCGCAAACGGCAGCTGACTGGAAAAAAACGAAATGTTGTTCATGTGAATGAATCGATCTAATGAAAAGGAGCATGGAACCAGAGACTGAGAAAACTTCTCCATTGTGTACCGCAGGTATCCACGAGGAGTACCAGCTGCCCTACTATGACCTCGTGCCCTCCGACCCCTCCATAGAGGAAATGAGGAAGGTGGTGTGTGACCAGAAACTGAGGCCCAATGTGCCCAACTGGTGGCAGAGCTACGAGGTATTTTACACTATGTAAACACTAAAAACCTACAGCTGCTACTTACAGTTCTCTAAAAATACATTCAGTGGCTGTATAGGGAGGCAGACTTCTAAATCAGTGTTGAGGGGGAGTATTAAATTAATTTTATAGTCAAATTTATCTTCATTTGTTAGAATTTTGTTATTCCATAATGTTGGATTACCTTTTATCATATAAAAGGGCCAGTGGTTTCTTTTATTTTCTTATTTCCTTTCTTGAAAGCACATGATTCAACACATGATTCAAATGTATTGATACACTGTTTTCACAGGCCTTATTTTCCAGATGAGAGTTGTCCACTTAAACACTGGATTATTCTTTATAAACACAGCAGTTGGTTGAAAATTTTTTATCAGACTGCATTTTATGGGAAATGTTGACATAATGATACAAAACATTTAGAATATTTCCATTTGATTTGTAGTATTTTAGATTTCGTCGTCATAATCAATCCTAAGTCATTTTCCCCATGCTGTAACATTAGACATGTTGTTTTAGACTCCAACTCATTCCTTTGTGTCCTTCCCTGTGCAGTCACTGCGTGTGATGGGGAAGATCATGAGGGAGTGCTGGTACGCCAACGGAGCGGCCAGACTGACTGCCCTGCGCATCAAGAAGACTCTGTCTCAGCTCAGCGTGGAGGAGGACGTCAAAATGTGAGCACCAGGCGGCGAAGAGACGCACTGGAGACGCACAACCAGACCACACTCCCATAGGAAACGAACACTAAAGACAAGACTGCAAATGAAAACCCTGCCAGTTTTAAAGCCACACTCCAAGTTGTGACAAGGCCTACCTCACCTTTTTAGCCAAAACTACTGAGAATCACCCCTCCCCCTCCTGACTTTTCTCTCCCCTGCCTCCCTTTGATCCTCGTGTCTCCTTCCTGTTCACTTTGACCCCCTTCTCCATGGGCCACAACACTACAGCACTACCACTGTTAATATCATTACACTCAACATTTTTTGTTTTCATTTCCCATGGCAGGAATTCTTACTATTGTACAGTGACGGGAAATTTTTCTTTTTTTTCTTTTCTTTTTTCTTTTTTCTGATCCTTTTTACCTCTGAAATTGTCCCACGACGGACTAACTAGAGTCAAGCATGTTGTGGGTTTTAAGTTTAAGAATAATAACACTTCATATTCTGTTGGCCATGCAACATCACAGTCTGTCGCTGTGAGTGTGTGAGGGGGGGAAAGAGGCTGAAGCACTGTCTGTAGTTGTGTGTGTATAAAAGGTGTCCGGACTACTAGCATATAGGCTGTGGTTCATTAGACAAAAGCAGTTATGGGACTTTTGGTTAATTAAGCATGAACAGCCAGAATGTGCTTCTTAATCCCTCACTTGAATATCCTACAAACAGAAATTAGTTGCACTCAACTGTAGCTTCATCATGTGTGAGACCCGCAGGTATCACATGACGGATGTGGTCCAGTCCTGGTGTTAGTTTGAAATGTGGCAGGGATACTGTTTGGGATGGTTTTATTTTTATTTATTTGTTGATATTATTTTTATTTCATATTGATGAACACTGTGAGATGAGATGTGACAAGCCAGAGTCTTGATATGAAAATTAATGTTGTAGTTCAGTCCAACTCTTCACCATCTTTCAGGTGTTAGATGAAATGGGGTTGTTGCATTCATTTAATAAGACGCTCAGTTCAAATATGGATGTAGCCATAGTGACGGGTTGGTGACAGGCGATGACATCGTGAACACTGAGCAAATAAGAGGCGTATGAAAAGGCAATCAAAAATACTGTTTTGTTTTTAAATATATTTTATGTGTTTTATGTAAAGACATCATGATGGGTGTTTTTCTTTTTACTTTGACATAGACACTACTGATGGGTACATATGATTTGTATATAAAACATGCAATTTTTTTCCTTTTATGCCACAAGCACCAGTGTGACAGTTGAACAGCGACTTTGCTTGAATGGTACTTTCAGAAGTCAGAATCTCTCTCTGCATGGTTTCTAACTGTGCCAGGACATAGACTGTGTCATTTGCTGGAATTTGTTTTTAATTTGCTCCTCTGGCAATTTGGTGGTACTACTGATCCCAGATAAGTTTGCTGCAACGTCTGTTTTTGTTTTTTAAATGTATAATTGTTGAATTGCTTGATGAGTTCTTTTCAGAGTTCAGTCATGCAGATCTGTTTCTACATGCGTCCTCCGGGTTGACATCTCTTTCTCATTGACACTGGAATATTTAGGAGCATGATGTAAACCTTGAATTCTGATTCTGCCAATGGCTTTTTATTCAGAAATAAAGTCAACCGCTGACAGTTCACACGCAGGGAACATACAGTTAGATGTGAGAAGTAGTTCAGAGGTTTTACTTCAAAGACTGACATGCTGTAAAGTGAAACTGCACGTTTTCATTGTACTTTGTCGCCTGCAGCTGCAAGGTTTTCTGCAGACAAAACTATGAAAGTATTACACTGACATTTGTCACCATTGGGCTCTGCACTGTTATGTCCACATGGACTTTAGTTAATGTTAGTTATGTCATCACTTGATCCAGAATCCATGTGTCATGTTAGTATCCATTTTGCATGCTGTCTCAAACACTGGGTCCTCTGCACTGAGGTAGATGAACTTAAGACTCGTTTTCCCTCCTCCTATCTGTTTGATTTTCTTTTTTCTTTTTTGTTCGGGTTGTTGGCTGTGTACCCCAGAAATGTAGCTGCTACTGTTAACATGGGTAGAAGTTCAGCAGGCAGAAGAGAAGGAGAGCCGGTGGGGGGGTGGGGGGGGTGGGGAGACTGCTGTCAGTTGAACCAAAATTGTCAAAACACTCCTGTCCATGTTTGGTTTGTTGCCATGGGTATATGACCATCAGACATCCTGTTCATAAGTAATACTTCAAGATTTCAAAAATCATGTTGTGCAAATCTTTTCAGAATTAGTTCAAAAGTGTATATAGATGATATACAATAAATTCCTCTTTTTGTTATCTGTGACTCCAACTGTGCTGCTCATTCAAGATGCCATACGCTGTGTTCATTGTGTGTTTGGGATTAAAGGATAGGATTCACATATTTTCAAGTCTGTCTTCAACTGTCTACTGTTCATACTCCACTGACTACACCGTTGGACTTACTATGGACAGTTTAAAAAGATCAAAATCAATGCAACAAAACCAGAGATATCTTTTTTTTTATTTTATTTTATTTTTATTCCAGTCATTATTCTTCCTTATCAAAAAGTGGCGCCTGCATTACCCACAATGCAACTCGACTTCCAACAGTTTGGTCATAGATTCAGGTCAGTAGCGGCTAATGTAACCCAAGCAGAGATGGTCTGGCAAGTTCACTTCACACAACCACTTTTTTTTTTTTTTTTCAAATTTTCAAAGCTGTAGTTTTCCGCCCCAGCTGATGGTGCCTCAATGATCACCTTAGGAAGACTCCCCAAGACCTTTTATCTCATAATTATAACGAACATTTATTTTATTTTTTTTAATCAAGGCGTTTTTATCTTATTTTTCTTTTACTGGCGGAGATGGGCTTCCATACACAATCCTCATTCCATGCAACAATATAGATAATGAGGCTTCAGGTGACTGCATTAATCAAATCATGTTGGTATCTTACAAAATTAAGTCTTAATGTGTAGTTCCCTCTTTGTGTTACTGTCTGCAGAAATACAAAGAATGGATTTTGTACTAAAACACTAAGTACAAAGTTTCTTCCTTGTGTTTCCTCAGTCACACGAGGGAATCGTGCATTAGAGAAGACTAACTTTGGAATATACCCACTTGAACTGAACTGATTAACAGACTGCTGAAGCCTCATTAACTTCAGATAAACTGAATGTATTTTGAACAATGTTTGTTTTGTGCGTCATCAGGAAGAGATCTCTTAATGGCCAGTATCAATAGGAGGAATGACTGTAGTGAGCAAAAGCAGTTTTCAGTGTTCCTGACTACTGTTTTCAGACTGACTTGAATTAAAATTGTGAACCTATCCTTTATACAGTCAACTGTTTTTTTAAAGCTGGTTTGTGGTTGTAAATTGCATCATTTTTTCACAGGTTTCTATTATTTTGTCAACACCTGCTTCATGAGTCCTGAGTGTGAAACCAGATGGTTGGCAATCGTCTCACCTGGGCGCAGGAGGAAAAGATAGTTACTGCTTTTACAGATAGTTCTTAACTCAGTCTCACTTATTAGGATTTTTCCAAGAGCTTTCAGTCAAACCTTGCGGCCTTAATCAGATCATTTCATATACAACCACAAACTGGAATCACATCACCGAAGTTTCACTTAGAAGAGACTGACAGCGGAACCAAACTCCATGTGATGATGACGGCCATGAGATGTGGCACAAAGCTCTACAAGAAGTCAATTAATTTTTTTGTTACTATTTCAGGAGGCTGCTTGGATTTTGAGCTTAAAACGAAAAGAAAACTGAGCACATATTTAAAATGCATTTTATTTTCCTTTACAAGAAACAAAAGCAGACAAAGAAATAAGATGAAGGGGAGAGGGAGTGGGAAAGCTGTATATAAAGAGATGCAACCTCTGGCGTCCTGAAAAAAATATGTACAATTCAAAATAATATCCATACAAAACATGCCACATACAATAAAAATGATCATTATATTTATTCATATTCCCTAAAAGTATCTCTGCTGTACAGATGCAACATCTTTTTAAAAAGTAGGTGAGGTTAAAAAAAACCTTCAATTTGAGCAAACTTTATTAAATTATAAGATATGCAGAGAACTTAAATTAAGATTCAGAGAAGTTAAAAATTATTCAGGCTAAAATCCAGTGAGCGGCATAATGTCTCGTCATGGTCTTCCCTTGAAATAGAAACATACCAAAAAATATATATATCACTGCTTCGGATACTTGATCAATATCTACCACTTTAGAGAAGTTCTCCGTTTATACTATGAGAGTGCAATTCATTACCAGGTTAAGTATGGGATTAACTTTGAGTATTACATCATAACATACATTAGGCCAAGTAACCATTTCACAAGGTTTACCAACACATTCACTTCTATAGGGAAGATATAAAAAAGCAAAACACTAACAATATTCTAGGGAATTCAAGATTTTCCATTCAAGAGTATATTAATCCAATTGTAACCGATTAAGGGACAGGTTTTGGTAATCAACAAGCAGTAGCATAAATAAAAAGAAAAATAAACACGAACAATATTACATAAATACAAATGCTATGCACCATTGTACTGCTTTATGCAAGAAGTGATTTTCATGTCTTAATTAATGACTCTCCACATGAATCCAAACAGTTTTGTAATCACCTCGGCTTCTCGTCGCAACTGATTGGAGAAGACCAGACATTTTCTCATACCTATTTTAACAAACTTGTCTCTGAGAGCTTATAGCAAAAAACACTAATAGAAAAACAGGTAAATGCAAAACACTCTGGTTCATATACATAAAGATATTAGTTTGCCATTTTACATATATTTATATTTATATACAGCTTTATCTTTGTTAAAATGATATCCAGTGGTTGATTTTTTTTCAATTTTATTTCTCTACACTTTTGACTTTATTGATTACAAAGGGGCTGGATAAAGAGTTGCTGTCCCCTAATGCATATACTATATATACAGTTTGTACAACTTTGCATTTTTAAATCATGTGAGGTCTTAGGTTAGGGGAAGGAGGAAACAAAGTAGTATGGGAAGGTGGAGTTTCAGTAAAGCTCCCTTTAAAGACTTTTTTCATTCATCTTACATAGAAATGAAAACAAATGCCCTTTTTTCCAATAAGTCTTTCCCTGCCATCAGTTCAGCCTCAAGAGGACAGTACCAGCACTAGAAAAGCACACTACAGGGGAAGTAGAAACACTGCAGGCTGTACTCAGGCAGAGGAAGACTTACTACAGTAAAGTTTAACAACAGTCCACGAAATTATACAGAGAGGAAGAGGCATGATTCAAAGTTTAAGGTTGAGTTGTGAAAAGGTCGAGTTGCTGGGGAATAAAAAGCATTAAATGGGACAGTAGTCATGCATCCACCGGCTGGTTTTCAACAAGTGGAACTTCAATGTATGAAGCGACAAGCAAAATGTGTACTTGGTTAGTTTTGGACTTCATAGTCTTCTTCAAAGACCATTTGTCCTGTGATCCTAGAGCCATTCACTCACACCATTACGGTCTTAAGCAACTTAAAAGGTGGATGTTATTGTGCTTTCACACAGCTAATAGCATGGTTTTGAGACGCATAAATAAAAAGTACAAAAAAAAAGAAAAAAAAAAAGAAAAAGCTACATCAATATCCAGGATGATTTGGTGGCATACAGGACACCCGCTAAGCTTCTGATTGTGATTTTAATGCAATATCTTATCAAAACTGTCATATATTTCCTCTGTATAAATAATTCATGAATAATAATTATGTTGGCTCATTTTTGTAAATCATCATCAGCATAGAGTAGATAGAGCAAACCTGCTGCTTAAGATTCCCTGCTTGTCCGAGAAGGCTAAGCCCATAAAAACATTCCCCCTTTCCCCCCGGTTCCACAGTAGCAGTTAACAGTTTTCATACAAAGCAGTCACTTCCCGCTAAATCAATGAGGTAGACTGAGTCCAACTAACCCACCTTGGGACTCCACACAGTCAGAACATCTGGTGCCTCTGGAGACACAGATCAATAGCATCTCAAATTTTATATTAACTTACATCTTTTTTTTTTTTTTTTTTCCATCGATCATATGTAGTTCTTACACAGAGCCACATCAAGATTGTCTAGCTAGCCAATATCCGTGTTGTCTTCATTGATGACTTGATGGGAAAGTGCCTTTTCTGGGAGGTAAGGGGGAGGTGTGGTTAGGTGGGACAGGAAATAGGTCCGACTTAAAACATAAAAATGCATCATTAGTTCATTCTTAGTATTTTAAAATGGCTTTTTGTCGAAGCTCCAGATGAGCTCTGCACTACGAGTATTGATATCAGAGGGTCAGAATCATTTGGTAGATGTTGAGGATTGTTTTCCAGCCACTGTAAGCTTATTGAGAACAGTCGAAGGGGGGAAAAGGGTTTTGGCTGAGGAAAGGGTGATTCACTAGTCCAAACATGAAAGTCAGTCCCACCATCAAGCTGCTGCTGATGGCGGTGGTCGGTTGCTTTTATTGATTAATGCTCTTCAAACCTTTGGCTACAGGTGTCACCGCTTTAGTCTTTCAATGGCGGAGGCCAGCCTTCCTCCATCCACATCTTTCAGAACAGCTTATGCACTGGCTATGTAGGATTCAAAGGCTTTGGCGCAGGAGTGTTCTGGCACCAGTGAGAGGGAAGTTCTCCATTTTTCTTTCTTCTCCTTAGTTCATCCACTTGCGGCAATTCCAAGCTCCACAATGGCAAGGGATCTTGTGCTGATCATCCTCAAAATCAAACTGGTAGTCATAGGTCAGCTGGAATTAACAAACAGATACAGTTAACAGGAGCTGAAAATCTTAATTGCATAAACAATAATAATAATAATGATAAGCAAAAACATAGAAAAGGTAGTAAAATTAAGGTGACATGCAAGAGTGAAGAGTGGAAAGCTTTCTAATGCACTGCACCTCTTCTCCCTTGGGGATCCTGCGGCTGGAAATGATGATAATCTTGTCCTCCTTGTCAAATGTTACAACCTCAGCAACACAGTTGGGGGCACAGGAATGGTTGACGTAGCTGGAAACGAGAAAAAGATGCCAGTTAAAAAAAAAAACACATATTAGTCAAACGCAAGGGTTTACAATGATTTACAATGAGAAAACCAGTGACAAATCAACACTTACCGAGCTGGGCCACCTGTCAGAGTGGCATCAATCACCTGTTCATTGTTGATGCGGAACATGTAGATCCCACGGTTCTAAGTTAAGACAAAGGAAGCAGAAAAAGATCGATACGCACTCTTCCATTCAAAGTTTTTTTTAGTTTTGAAGTGTTGTCCTGTTGTAGAATAAATTTGGGTACCCCACCAAAATAAATGCTTCCCCAACTTATTCTGAATTCTTCAAATTTTAACCCAAAGGAATCATTTCTGTGGACTTTATATCCGAGGGCCAGTGTTTTATTGATGTACCTGTGACTCGTAGATCTTCTCACGGCGATTGGCGACCTCGTTGCGTATGACAGTACCGATGTACTCAATGACCATGGTGTGCTTCTCCAGATCCTTGGCAGCGTACAGACCCAGGCCCTGAATGCGGGATCGTGCCAGATACACATTGTTCTTCCACTCGGTCTTCAGGCGGCGATACTGGGAGGACTTGGAGTGGACAAACTGCTTGCTGTATGGTGTGTTGAGCTCTCCAGTGAAGGTGCTCTGGTAGGCTTTTGACATGCTGGTGCTATTTAAAGTGTGAGGCCTTGAGACAAAAAGAAAACAAAGTGTGAGTGGGTACCCCAGGCATTTGTAAGATGTATTTAGTCTACAACTGTGCATCAAATTAAGAGTTTAAGAGCTTTGGTCCTCAACATGGGACTGCATATTTGTTGGGTTACATATTGAGGAACTTTTTTCATCAACTGTAAAAGAATATGTTACCTGGTGAGGAAAACTTTAAAACGACTGATATAAGATAACCAACAAAAACATTCTGTGCTAATATTGTGTAACTGCACAAAAGCATTAATATTTAAGTCAACAATCCTGTCCAACAGGACTGACACCATGCTTAAAATCATTTTCTACCAGCCACACAGGTTTTACTCTCCTAACATGTTAAGTTTTACTTTAAAGCTCAGCTTCTTGTGGCTTATTGCTTAAGTACTGCTGTCTTCACCTCTTGCAGTGTGTGGGAACCTTGGGCTCAGAGCGAGCACAGCCGGTGGGATTGATCATCAGAGGGAGCTCCATCAGAGGGTGACGGCCATATCGGAACTGATAGTTCTGGCAGTTCTCCACTCCAGGCAACTAAAACACAACAAAGTAACATAAATTGTGTTAATCATGCACTTTTATGTATAGTAGACTCATTATGTCATAGCATGACTTGTGTAGCTCTGTAGCCCAAGAGGGCTAGTCACAGGGTAAAGCTTTTCATATATCATGTCTGCTTGTGATATTTAGTTTAATCTATAACATGGGTTTTCAAAGCCTGACACTCGACCGTTGTCTACTAAAGAGCTTCGATTACAACTGGGAGATAAAGACAAAGTAAATGGGACACAGAGTGATATTCCTTCCTGCTGCAAATTCTTACCGACTCAGTGATTCGCATGACAGCATGAACTGTGAGACCATACATTTCCTCTCCTTTGACATGTTCAGTGAACAGCTTCAACATGGACGATTCATCTCGGAGTTTAGCCACCTCCTGAACTACCCGGTCCCAGATTCCTAAAGACAAAGACAGTGAATTTAATTCAGTCAATGGTCAAGAGAGTTTATTACTTATCTTAACACTCAGAGATACCATATAACAAAGTGAAAGCAATGTATATGTTCTCACCCTCTGGAGTTGTGTCGCGGTACTGCAAATCCTCCATGCCATGCTCCAGAACACGCACCTCAAACAGGGGGCGACTATCATCCTCGCTGATGCGGCAGCGGTAGCGACAGCGCTTGTTGGGCACACGGGTGCTCCAGTAGATGCGTGTGGCCTCATAGCCAACCGGGAAGATGGCAGTGGGTGAGTGGAAGTTGGTCATTTGGGAGGGTAGCAACTGGCCAACAGCATGAAAGATGAGACCACCAACACGGAACAGGTGGATGCGGTCACCTCGCTGTAAGATGCTGGCAATCTGCTTCACCTCATCACGCTCAATGTAGACACGCCGTAAAACAGCAAATGTGCTTAGCTCATCTTCACTGGGCCCCTTCAGCTTATGCTGAGTGCACAACATGGTCTTGTCCTTGAAGAACATGCAGCGTGCCCGGATGGCACAGGCAAAGTGGTAGACATTCGGGCATCGCAGTCTGTTGCAGCTGTTGGTGGCACCTGTTTTCTGGCAGTATGCGCAAAGAGTCCGCAATCCACGACGCAGGGCTACCTCCACATTGATAAGGGCACCCCCCTGCGTCTCATACACCTCTGTGGACCACAGGGCACAGTTAAGGTGCACCCACAGGTCCACATCAATGTTAAGCAAGCGGGCAGGCCCATCTGTAGCTCCATCACCTTCCTCGTGGCAGAAACAGCATTTACGTTTATCCCGAGGCAGCTTGTCTGGTCTAAGAGTAATGCGCAAGCGTTCCATCAGCTCAGACACCTCCCGGCTGCTCTCTTTCTTAGACCCACCCTTACGTATTGAGATGACAATCTGAAGACGCTTCCAGCGAATCCCCTTCCATTTTTTGACTTTGGGGTGTACCACCTCCTCATCAGGGGAGAGAGGCCTGCGCTGCTTGGTAGCCTTAGGGGAGGACTCCATGGTGCTGGGAGAATCTTTAGGAGGTTGTGCTGGATCAGCAGCTGAGTCCTCCTCTTTGACGACAGGACTCAGATCCTGCTGATCTTCAGTAGGAGCAGTAGGATCAGAAACTGCAGACGCAGGTGGTGGATCAGTGACCGACTCTGGAGCAGCAACTTCAGACTCTGTGACATCAGTTGGTTGAGCAGCATCAGTAGGAGGATCAACATCCTGTTCAGGTTCAGGTTTAGGTTCAGGTTCAGGTTCAGGTTCAGGTTCAGTCTTGATCTGGACAATGGTGGGACTGGAGGGAGAGGGGGATGGAGAAGCGGATTTTTTGGAAGGTTCAGCTTCACTCGTCGGATCTGGGACAGATGGGGGAGGTTGTGGAGGAGATGGTGATGGGGGTGGAGATTCCTCCACTGGTATAATAGGAAGGTGGCGCACATCCAAGTCATTTACATTGGTTGTGTAACAGTGCTGGACCGGTTTGTCCTCTTTTTCTGGGAATTCCTGGGAGAAAAACACATGAGATCTACAGCTTTCAGGAAATATATAATACAAGGAACAAGATCAAAAAAGGTCAATAATTTACACAGTTCTCAAGAGTCCCGTAATGACTAACCTGTTTAATAAGTGCCAGAATGTCAACTTGTTTCTTCAATGTACAGCCTGGCAGAGACACATCAAACTGCCTGAGCCACTCATCCTGACTGGGTGAGGCACCGTCCTTTGTACACAGAGCCCCTGGAAAACAGCGCCACCTTAACATTAGTCTTAAGAAACTTAAACGCTTGCATTTGTGTTTGAGAGCAATGTTAGTATACAAGTGTTTCCCTAGCAGTGTAGTCACTCGACAGCAGTGACAAAACGTTTCGAACAGCAACTCTGCTCAACTCACATGCTCAAGCTACAAGCAAGAGACTGGCATCACAAGAGGCCAAAAAAGACTTTCAAGACTTTGACATTGCGTTACCTTCAACAGATACTTTAAATTGGAAGCAAATGATTCAGGACATTAATTGCACGACTGGTTGTTGTAGGCTAATGTGAGAAATGTCTTGACACAGATTCACACCCAGATGTTGTGACCTGTATGATAAACTTCCTAACCCAGTGAGACAACAGGACAATCCAAATGCACAAAATCGTCTCTGAATGCATACCTGACTGGCTGGGTCCTTTCCCAGGCCCATCCACTGCAGGCATGTCAGGGTTTTGGGAAGGGAAAGTCACCTCATAAGAACCCGGCATTCTAATGTTGAGCAACTGGGCCATGGCCATCATCACGTGGTTCAGTTTCTGGAAAAAAGGCAATTCAAGTTTTTTTTCACAATACATGAAGATAAAAAAAGGTTAAACAAGGTGCAATGATATCACGGCTTAGTACCTTGGCTGCAGCAGAGGACAATGTGAAGGTAACAGACACCTCGTTGTTTTTGGCCTTGTCCCAGTGGTTGGATGTGGAAACTACCTTGCTATCAGCTGCTTCGAACGGTTTGTTTTCTGGGAATGCTACAACAGAAGCAAATGTGTGAATCCATCTTTTGTCAGTTTGCATTTTAGCAATATAAATGGATTTATTGGAAAAATTAAAGTCTTAATCAGTAAAATGTAATGCAACACTTTCAGAATGGATTTCTCCATAACTTGCTGATACAATACATGTTGCTGTTGTTTTTCGGAGTTACATTTATCATTTAGAAGGTCGTAAAATACCTGGTATGGCAGTGCGAGGTATGAGGGGGATGATGGGGGATATTGCTCTCTCTGTCTCCTCCTCTTTAGGCTCCCGTAGGTGAGGGAAACGTGGTGTTTCTTCCCCTACATTACTCTCAGGGGAAGATGCTGGGATGATACTTTCAGGGGCATCCTCGTCATCACTCTCCATCCTGTTAAAAAAAAGGACATCTCCTAGGTTTATAGCCTAAACAACAAGAAATCCATGTATTCTGGTTGACAAAGAAAAACAATCCTCCTATTGTACCTGATGTCCTCATTCTGGTTATGTGGTGGAGTGGGGAGAGCTGCCAGAATGTCTACACTCTTTACCTCCTCTGTAACAGATTCTGCAGGGAAAATTACAGCGAATTTAAAACCCAGTTACTGTACAACTGCAGATTAAATATTTATGAAAAACAATAATTTCATGCCAAATCCATCATTGTTTACCCATTGGCTCTTCTGCTGGCTCTGTGTCTTTCTGACCCTCAGAGAGCTCCTCCCCAGGAGTCACTCCATTCAGCAGCTTGTGCTGTACTGAGGGTGGAGGGGTTGGTGGCAGGGAGGATGGGGGTGTTGGTGGGTTACTGAGGTTACTCTGTAAAGGCATAAAACAATAGGCTTGTATAACAACTTTATTTTTGAAGAAGCATTCATCAACAACCTGCAACAGCTACCCACTGGTACATGTTGCAGCTTAGTTATACCTTAGTGAGTAACTGAGAGTAGTAGTCTGGGATATTGTCCAGCACTGCATTTCCAAAGGATCCTTTGAGCTGGGCTTTGCCATTGGCTGGGCTGCTCCCAAAAGGGGCAAACAGATCCAGACTGGCGGTGATAGAAGGCTCCATCAGGGGCAGCAAAGAGAGACCCTGAAGGGGATATATCCATTAGTCTATATGATGAAAAACCACTCTTCAAAACATTCATGGCAAAAATAATTAAGGAAATCAATATTTGTCATCCCTATCACCCATCCCCTACCTGTTTGAGTTGCTTTATTAAGGCTTCAGCACTTTTTCCAACTTCTTCCTTCTTATTTTTCTTCCGTGCATTCGGCCCTCGGTCTCCAGCTGCCTTGTTAGTGCGCTTTGGCTTTTGTACAGGAGCCCTTTTTGTTATAGACTGTAAGTCCTGTAAAGGATTGAGAAAATGAATGAGGTTATTCCCTCACAAACAACTGCATAATTAGGGCAAAAACAATGAATGTAAAAAACATACCTCCATATTTCGTGGAGTCCCTTGAAGTTTTTGCTCCAGCATTGCTAATTTACTGTTGATGTGGCCATTGATCTCATTATGGATGCCTTCAGAGGGTCTCTGAGCACCAAGCTGAAGGTTCTTGGTTCGCAGGAGTTTCTGTAGCAGTTGCTGTCCAGTCTCTGACCTAGGGCCTTGAGTTCCAGGGTCTCCAGCATTAATAAAGCTAGTGTTGTTCCCCGAAGTAACCACCTCACCTGTTACTTCTCGCTTTATAGCCCCAGGATGAGCCTCTGCTGCACCATCACACTGAACCTCCCTTGGCTCTTGTTTAATGTTCTGTAGGGTCATCTTGCATACCTCCCCTTCTCTAGAGCCATGCTGTGTGTGAGGAAGATGGCTCTCTGTAACCTGATGCGACTGTTGCTGAACATTCATGCCTTTTTGTGGCCCATTGGGGATAACTGAGGCTGTCTGAGATGTTTCATTGCCTGATGTTTGACTTTCTACTTTCAGTCCTGGACAATCAAGTGGACTCTTGGCTCCAGGTGACCTGAGTGGGGATGCTTTGACTTGGTTGTATGGACTTCCCCTTCCAGCCCTGTTGTCAACTACTGAAGGCGAGGAGACATGGGATGAATGGGGTGAGGCTGGGTGGGCTGGGCTCATTCCAAAGGGACCTCTAGGAGAATATGCATGGGATGGAGAGCCCTGCATGCGGCCTGCTGCAGCTGCCATTAGTGCTTGCTGTTGGTTCTGGTTAGGAGTGGGTGGACGCATACCCATAGCTTGACTAAATGTGTGCCGTTGTGGATCCCCAGGTGAGTTAGCTAATGGCTGACGTGGAGATGTTGGCCTTATCATACGACCCTGGTCCATGGGGGACCGAGGCACTGGTACCTGGCCTCTCATAATATGCTGCTGCATCATTTCCCCTACTTGTGGCTGTTGTTGCCCAGGGACCATCATTCCATGCTGCATCTGAGGAGCAACACCAGGTTGTTGGCCCAGCTGTTGTTGAGCGCCCACTGCTCCTGGCTTCCCCATGGCTCCATATGTCATCTGTTGGCCTTCCATCCCTTGCATCTGCTGCCCAACTTGTGGCATCTGACCTGGTGGCATGTGAGACCTCAACTGACTTTGCTGTCCCTGACCCATTGACATCCGCAGCATCTGACCCTGTTGGAGCTGCCTTTGGGCAATCATGGCCTGTATGTGCTGTATCTGCTGGTTTGGGGGGAGATTGCGGAGCTGAGGATTCTGAGCAATACTAGCTGGGATGTTGATAGGAGTGCGGATGTGTCCAGGTGGAACTCCAGGTCTCTGTGCCATCATTCCTTGCTGCTGGGCTCGCATCATGCCCATTATGGCCTGTTGTTTTTGCTGCTGGGCTATGAGGGCTTGCTGTTGTGAACTATGGCCCATCACAACAGGCTGTGGCTGGCCAGGATGGTTCTGGCCTATGATCTGCTGTTGGAGGCTGGGGTCTTGTGACTGCTGCATGGCATTTTGAGCCACTTGCTGTTGTTGCTGCTGAGCTAAGAAATCAATTGGTTTGCCTTCTTCTTTAACAGTCATCAAAATGGGCTTGTCAGCACCAAGGGAACCTTGCCTCTGGACAGTGAGTGGAAGTTGTTGCTGCTGTTGTTGAAGCACACCACTTTGTTGGTTTCCAACTAAACTTGTTTGTTGCTCAGGTACAGACTGAGGATTTGATTGTTGCTGCTGGGCCATATAAACCTGGTTTTGATGATGCTGCTGTTGTTGTAACTGCTGTCGTCCAAAATCAGTTTGATGGTCATTTCCAGGGCCCAGTTGAGTCATCTGATTGGGAGTGGAGGGTCCACTCTGCTGTGGTGGTGTTCTTGGATCAGGGCTCAGAATCCCACCCTCTTTGGGGCCTGAGTTTTGGCTGTCTGAAGCTCCCTGTGGCTGGGGTGTGATACTTCCTGCTGAAGGTGAGGAACCCATCTGTGGGGTAGAGGGTTGGGACAGCCCTCCTTGTTCGTGGCTGGACTGACTGATCAATTGTGTTGGTTGTCTTTGTTGTGCCATCTGCTGCTGCTGGAGGTGGGCCAAATTCTTTGCAAGATTCTGCTGCTGTTGTTGCTGCTGCTGAGATGCAATCATCCGTTGGGCCAGAATGCTCTGTTGTTGTGGAGTCAACTGTGCCTGGGGACCCCTGAGGCCTGGATGACCGGGAGATCCAACCATTCCCTGTTGACCCATCATCAGCTGAGGCCTCTGTTGCTGTGATGGTGCAACTGGCTGGTTTCCCATAATTCCTGGTTGAGCTGCCATCATGGCTTGAGCATGGTTAATGGGCTGGCCTCCTACAAGGTTCTGTGGAGGTGGAGCCACAGACTGGCCTCCAACCATTCCTTGTGGAACCTGCACCATACCCTGCTGACTGGCCTGGTTGGCTAGCATTCCCTGTTGAGCGCTTGCTTGTTGTTGGGCCATAAGTGGGTTCCCCATCATACCAGACTGTGGTTGAGCGATTAAGCCAGACTGTTGATTTGGGTGTGGCATCGATTGCTGGCCCATCGTCACCTGCTGCTGTTGCTGGAGCTTTGCCATTTGCATCCTATGTTGAAGCTGTCTTTCTTGGAGAAGCCTGGGGTCTGCAGCTTGCATTCCAGGCCCCTGTGGAAAGAATCCCGTTGGAGCCCCAGGAGGACCTGGGACCCTGACACTACTGGCTCCAAGAGCTGCAGGCAGCTGAGGTTGGGCTCCTCCAATAAAGGGCTGCCCTTGGGGCATCCTGACAGGCATTCCCCCTTGTGGCATCATGCCAGGATGCTGGCCCATTACTGCTGTTCCCTGTTGGCCCATCATCATCTGGCCAGGCATCTTGGGAAACATGTGAGGGGGGGCCCCCTGTGCAGAATGACCTGGGGTAAGAAGACCTGAGCCTTGCTGATGCTGCTGCTGCTTGCTTCTGTACTCTGCAATAAGATTGGTGTGCTCCTTCTGCTGCTTGCGCACCTAAAACAAAATAATGATGAACAGATATGAAATTGCAAAACAAGATGCCAAGTGCCTTTGCAGCAGACACATTTGTGAACTTGTTATAAGGTTTTTTGCAGTTGTCTTTTTCAGATACTTTAAAATCTACACACCTGGTCAAGCTGTTTCTGAATTTTGCTCTGCTCTTCTGTAACCAACTTGAGCTTTTCTGCATCTGCCTCAGCAAACTCTCTGCCAGCTTTCTTAGCAGTGCGTTGCTTAGCACACAGTGCCTTGCGTGATTTGCGGTGAACTCCAATCTGTTCCTCCAGAAATTTCAACTGCATTTGGAGTAACTGCTGGGTGTGAAGAAGCCATTCTTCATATTGGTGCTGTTCTGCATCATCTGTAACAGAGGAGACTAAGTTTTATATCCATATCAGAGTATGAGGACAGCAATATAGCATCCAAATGAGTAAATACATTTCTAACAAGAGCGAGTATTAGTAGAACATACTGATGATTCCTTGCACAAACTGTGGAGGGTTAGGTCTTGACTGGGTGGGATCACTTGTTTCTCCCTCCTAAAGACAAGAAGAAAGCATTTAAATAAGTCAGCTACATAACACGTCAAATGATATCAAATCAAATCACTTCTGAAAGGCAGGACAGCATACCTTTGGAGGTCCAGATGTAACTTGACCTGGATCTGTGCCCGGGGCGGAGGCCAGCCTCTGAGCAAGCAGAGAAACTTGTTGCCTGAAGAGAAAGCAAAACATAAAATTTATAACTATACCTGCAGTATACTGAACAATGGGCTATAAGGTTATGTCGTTTCCAAAGCATTGTACAAAAAAACTTGCAAAATCATGATGCTACCATTATCTGATTAGGAATGTCACGAGAATCGATACTTCTGTGCCAAGTCTGAAAATGTGACGGTGCTCGTTTTTTTCTACAGTACCGTAGGTACCGTAGATGTCGTAGGTACTGGAGATGTGATTATTCAGGGACTGACAAGGGCAGTATAATAACCCTACAAGCATCCTAGTCTGACACACTCAAAGAGAAGATGGCAGTTATTAGGGTTGTGCTGATGGATGCTGATCTCGGTGATCGACAATCATCAGAGCGATTGCCAATGCCAATGTCAAGACGATATTTGGCTTGTTTTTCCATGAATGTATTTACTTATTATCATCATTATTTGTAGTATTGAATTAATATTAAGTTTAATTAGACCTGCCAAAGTTTCACATATAGAATCGCATATAAATGATGCATGCAACACCGACGTGCACGCACACACTCCGACCAGCTCATTGTCATTAAAGCCCTGCTTGTTGTGTGTAGGTGCTGTATTGTGATTAAACAGTGGAAATCTATAGACAGAAAAAAACATATGAGAGAGAGCGAGAGAGAGAGAGAGAGCTGCAAGTCATAGACAGCTTTTTCTAGATGATAATCTGGATCGCACAGACCTATAGGATTGTTTATCCTTGGTAGACAAATGTGCTCTGCTAAGTGCCTCGTCTGTCACCCAACACCAATTTGATTGATTCCTTTGTTGAAGTTACAATTGACTGTGATGCATTCAATACAATGCTCTAAAATAAGGTTTTATATTGTTTCCAACATATTCTGTTGTTTGAGTTCTGAGGAAAGCAGATACTTTTAAACCAAGAGAGTTAATTATTTGGCCACTTGGGGGCAGCAGAGGCAAGGAGCACATACAGCACTGACAGTTGTCTATTTACACCATTCAGCAAACACTAATATCTATTTGTAGCCATGCAAGTATAATATCTGCTCCCCTCTGAACTCTGGTGTCCACCAACTCCTGAAGGAATTACCTGGTTCTTTAGTTGGTAAATGCTCCACTAAGTAGGCCGCACAGGCACTGTACCATCATCATTAAAATAAAAATACTTAATATGCAGGAAAAAGGATGCATGTCTGGTAGACCTTAACATTTCACTACTGCGTCACACCAAAGTCAGCACTTAGAATATTTTCATTAATGTCTTGGTATACTTGGTCCAAAGAGCATTACTATTTTTGACAGCCTTTGTTTATTTTTTGGCATTTCTAGTGGGGTAGAAACATGCTCTGCTAGGTGTCAGCAGTATCTACTGATTAAGAAGCTAAAGATAGATTTCTTTCTTACTCATCTAGGTTTTTGTATGGATAATTTAAAAATTGTTGAATGAAAACATACTGAACAAACTGACCGAAACCAAAACCAAAACATGTTCAACTAATGTTATAAAAAAATACCTGTTAATGCCAGGGGGACCAACCATTGGATCTTGTGCCAACACTCTCTTGATACCCTTAAGTGCCACCATCTTTGCCTTGGCAATAGGGTCCATGATGTCGTCAGTAGCAAATTTGTCTAAATCTGCAATGAAAGAAGACGACAAAATCTGTTGATATAGTATGAAAAGAACATCATTAAATAGGGTAATGACGGAGATAAGCCAGGTTCCTTACCTTTATCTGGGAAGAAATTGTTGGCCAGAGGTGCCTGTTTAACCACTGGCTGCGGCTGTGGTTGATGACTGAGACCTGTATGGATTCCTGGCTGCACCATCCTCATCATGGCCTGCTGCTGGGCCATGGGTATGTGAGGTGGAGGTGCCATTCCAGGTCCCATGAGCCTTTGCTGCTGCTGCTGCAACATGTGCGGAGCACGGGGAACCATCCCTGGCTGACCCATCATTCCTTGGGGTGGTGGACGATGGTGGTGTTGCAGCATTATTTGCCCAGGTGCCTGTGGGTTTGGCTGTTGACTTGGGAGGCCAGGAAAATGAGGGGCCATGCCTCCCTGGTGGAGGGAACTGAGCTGTTGCTGCTTCTGTAGTTCCTTCTTCTCATGCTCCAGCAGATCCTGTATTAGAAGAGGCAGTTCACCATCTAAAGAGCTCTCTACCTTTGCCAAATCAACAGCAGGGGAGTGGTGTCCCCCTACATCAGGGAGCCCCAGCGGATCATCACCAATATCTGCATGTGGAGCAGCTGGAGGAAAAGGCAATGGGTCGGCTTGTCCTGGAAGGGGGTACGGAAGACCCCCCAGTCGAACAGAACTGAGTGAAGCTGACTGGTTTTCTGTTTGTGCAGGCTTGGCTGATGGTGTGGTCCCACCAAGAAGCATTGATACAGCCTCTCCCATTTCATCTTTCACCACTGTCTGTCCTGGCTGGGTCAGGCCTCTGTCTTCTACTTTGACTTTGGAGGTATCAACAGTTTCTGTAGGGGGTGGCAGTTGCGTAGCAGACCCCCCTGCAGTGGCAGGGGCTGTTGTGACAGACTTCTGCCCTGGCTCCACTTTGGCTTTCTCTTCCACTTTAATGAGTGCAGATCCAGAGGAAGATGAAGGTGCTTCACTTTCTGCTTCTACCAAACGCAGCTGGTCTGAGAAGACATCCTTAGGGTCTCCTTGGTCCAGTTCGGGGTCAGTGTAAGCCAGCAGATCAAACTCGTCACTGTTAAGCAAGTCGTCTAGATGTGGATCATTGGTTTCAAGGTTGTCCAGGTTGCCCAAGTCATCATCTCCTTTGTCAGGGTCCAAGTCTAGAGCCAAATCATCCTCATCCTCCACACCTCCATCCCCTGGGGCCTCCCCAAGCCCCTCAAGATCAGGTTCTGGCAGTTCCTCACTGTTTTCTACGGTGGCAGTCTGAGGCTGTGTGACTAGGCTTGACTGTGGAAGCTGATGCTGCTCAGTGCTAGGAGTGTTGGCATTGGAAGTAGCCTGGGACTGCAGGTGGGTCTGTTGTGATACTGGGCCTGCAGACTGCTGAGGCAGTAAAACTGACAGTCCACCCTGCTGTAACCCTAGCTGTGACTCATTGCCCCCCTCCGTTTGAATGCCACCAGCTTGAGCAATGGGATGTTGTTGAACATAAGGTGCTGCCATCTCTTGCTGTGGAAAGAGACGTGGTCTTGGCTGGGGTCCACGGGGCAAAAACTGGGGTCGTAGGGATAGCCTTTGTGAGTTATGTCTCAATTCAATGAACTGCGGAGGAGGTCCTTGACCCATTGGCTGCATGGTCTCCCCTCCATGTGCTGGTATCATGGTGTGAGGGTTACCCATGCTCTCCATACCCTGGATGTTGACAGCAGGGTTAAGATTGTGCCTTATGCCAATAGCCTCTATGCCAGGCTGGGGGAACCTTCTTGGACCTGGTGCCTGGCCCTGCCACTGTGGAGGGAATGGTGTGCGGGCAAACATGCCCTGAGGTCTGATGTGCCCTGGTGGCCTGAAGGACAGAAAAGAAAAGAAAAGAAGAAATATATTTCAATTCAAATAGTGTTTATGACATCACAGAATTTTGCACTCCTGGCACCATTTCCTTCCCAAATCAGTTCCTGTAATATTACAATTTAGTAATGCTTTCATATTGTTATGGACATTATACAGCTACTGACATGCTTTAATTGTAACCAACCAAAATGACCAGATGCTAAAGTTTCTTGGGTTACCATTAAGCTAACAGTAAGGGAAATGTTCTAATTGTGGAAGGAGAGTCGGATCTTACTGTTTCACACCAATTGTGAATCTATTTCAATGAAGAGATTACCTTAGTGCACTGGGATCCATGATGGCAGGGGTTCCTGTAGGTGGTGGGCGAATGAGCTTGTCCTCCATACCTCCAACAGGCATGGGCATCTTCCCTGCCACAGAAGCCTGAGCTCCAGCAGTAGCAGCAGTAGCAGCACGATCCTAAAGCAAGTAATAACAGCAAAAATAAGTAAATGTATCATTCCTTTTATTTGCTGCTTTCTCACCACTGGACAGAGAGGTCAAAGTGCAATATCACCAACAGAATGGTGCAGCTGTACCTTTAGTAATTAAGTTTACTTTATATGAACTCTTTAGCAGAGCAGATATTTACTGGGATTTTAGCCAGGTCTTTACATCATACTATTGGCAAGGTGTTGCACTTGTAATGTTGATGGCATATTGATCAAGGTGTGTACCTGTGGATAAGGTGGTGGTGCTCTGTGGGCCTTGTTGTCTTGTTGAAAAGCCCCCATCTCTCCTCCAGACCAGCCAGGGGATGCACTACCAGCAGCAGCAGCCTCCTTCTCTTGTCTCATGGAATTTCTTTGCATTTGTTGTCTGATTAAGAATTCCCTCAGTCTCTGGCGCTAAAAACACACACAACGCACTGATTAGCAAAACACGCAAGAGGTAGACAGAATGACTGTTCACTGGTTAATATTATGATACCTGTCTGTGCTTCTCCAGCTCAGAGGGGCTAAGGCCTACTAACGCAGGGTCCTGCACTGCTGACATGTCGGGCATTTCTTGAGTGCCTGGCAAAGATGGCTGGTGAGGTGCGTCTGGAGGGCGGACAGCTGGTAGTTCTTGAGATCCAGAAGAAGGTGGCACCCTGGAGCTGAAGCCATCTGCCCCCATAGTCTGCTGAGTTTGTGTCTGTGGTTGCTGGAGCTGACCCTGTGCCATCTGACTCTGCTGCTGGGGTATTTGGAGGCCTCCGGTGCTGGGGCTGCGGCTGAAATTAGGAGCTGCTGAGGGTTTACCAGAGAGAGGATCCCCTATGGAACTGTTGGTGGGATGGGGTGGAGGTGCCTGGTTAGGATGAGGTGAGCTTTTGTAACATGTGCTACCCTCTGGGGCAACAGAGGGCGGACGAGGAGGTTTGTGGATAGTAGCAAAATGGTCTCTAGATTGTGGCCTTGAAGGTGGCTGAGAACAAAGGTCTGGGGATTGGAAACGTGGGGTAGCAGGAGACTGGACACTGTAACCATCGTTGGAGAGGCCACCAGGAGTGTGGGGAGACTGAGAGCTGCCCTGGGACTGTGGGCTGGAGGGCACTCTAGGGCATAGTTCCTGTTGAGCTACAGGATGTCTCTGGGGCCCAAGAGAACAGCTGTCACCTGACTGCGGTCGGGGAGTTAGTGGTGGCTGAGTGTGGGGGTCAGAGAAAGACTGGGAGGGAGACTGCCTATAGCCTTCAGATGGATGGCTAGGGGAAGCTCCAGGATGAAGTGCACCACCTTCCCCTTGGTGCATCCTTGGCGTCATGGGTGCTTTGAATAAACCGTCACCAGACTCTAGCATCCCAGCGGGGGAGCCAGTGGATAGGTCAGGTCTTCCAACTGCAGAGGAGCGCGGAGAAGGCGCACTCATATCAGCCCTGTACTGCCCTGTGCTTGCAGGTGAGGAAGCCACTGCAGAGGGTGATGGGGAGGAACCATATTCTGGTCGTCCCATCCCTTGCTGGGTTCTGAAAGGGTCTCCGTAATGAGTATTGTGGGGTGGTGAGAAGATGGGTGAATCCCCAAGCCCAGCACCTCTTGAATGAGGACTTTCTGGAGGTCCTAGGGACTCCTGAGAGCCTTGCTGTGATTGTGGTAAATGACCCTGTTGCTGCTGCAGCTGTGATCTGAAGTAGGGGTCAACCTGCTGAGCCCGTCTGGGGGTTCCAGGAGTTCCTGGTTGCATGTCAAAGGGGCCAAGACTGGCTGGCCGTCCCTGAGGAGGACCCTGTGGGCCGGAAGTAGAATAACCTGAGGAAGAGGCCTGTAAGGGGCTGGCCCCAGCGTGGGAGAAGGGTGTGGTTGGGTGAGAATGAGAATGGGGTGACTGAGAAGGAAGCTTAGCCAAGGGATCTGTCCGAATTTCAGCTGACCCTGGGGTCTGAACAGGTCCATCTGAGAAAAATACAGAGGATGATCCTGAATCTGGAGGGAAGGGAAATGGGCTTTCTGCAGAGCTGGGCTGGGAAGAGATTGATGTAGAGCCTGAAGGTGGAGGGATCTGGAGGTGTAAACTGGGCCGTTCTCCCTTCACACGCCCTGGCTCTTGTTTGACTGGCCTGCACACCTGACTCTCTGCCTGCTGTGAGAAGAGAAGGGTACAGAGCAAACATGAATCTGTTCTACGACTATAATGAAAGATACCAAAACCTTTCATTCATCCTGACAATAAAAGGGATGTTGATGCTTTAACTCACCTTCTGTGCCTTGTTGATCCTCTGAGCTGCTCGGTTATCTTTGGCCTTTTGCTAAAGAAAATAATTAGATATTAATTAATTATATTAAAAGAGAAATTTCTACTTTTGTGTAACAACAGATACTAATAATATAGTATAGTAGTAATAATTTATAATTGCAAAAACATCACACATTGTATAGTCTAAACCTGGATATACCTAATGTCAAAATTTTCATCGGGGTTCTAATCAGCAGTACGCACCACTCCAGATAATGTCAAGGTGACAGACATTTTAAATTTGAGTGACAAGTTTCCTTTATTTCTGTATTTGGTCATTTTTCCCTTGACACTTTCTGCATAGAAGTGAGAGCTGCACAAGCCACTAGATAGAATATGATCACACAGAGTAACAAGAGCCTGACGTCATTCACTACATTTTTGAAATTTGTGTTACAACAGACCATCAGGAAACAATTGGTTTAGTTAATATATAGTACCTACCAGATATGGAGCCTTGTCAGCAGCTGACACCTTCCTCCAGATCTTCATGATTTGCTTACAGCGGCTAGCCCAGTCTGGGACAGGAGAAATATTTAACAGTTGTTCGATATCTGACAGTGATATATATACCTTACTTTGAAAAAGCATGACTGTTTGGTCTAATAATAAGTTGTTCATTGTCTTGAAGTATTTCTTCTGCACTCACCTGGGTAGTCCTGTTTGAGAGTGGGAAAGTTGGTATTGGCATAAAGCACAGGTGAAATGGTTGAGAGCTCTCCCAGCTCCTCGTCTTTCTCCCAGCGCTGGAGACTGCGCTGGTTGTAGGACAGCCCATCACCCTCTGCCTCAGTGGGGGTTGGTGGGGAGGAGGGGGTTGCTGGGGTAGAGGGAGTGGCCCAGGGGCTCTCCTCACCCCCATCTGGACTGAACAGCCCTCCTCGGTCCCTGTACACCATACAAGAGTGTATTGTCTTATATAAAATAAAGGGCTTATATGTGTCAGCATTAGAAACAGTCTATTTTAAAATGGAAAAAATAAAACAGAATTACACATCTTATTTTACACTGTTATCTACAGCGCTAGTTGCTGCAGAACTAAATACTACAGACTGTTGCAAAATAAAAAGCACTAGGCAATTCAGAAATGGTCCTACCGCATGTCAAAGAACGGCGACTGAGAGAGGCCAGGAAAGGCATCCATCATTCCAGCTGAGGGCAGGGACCCTGTAAGAGATTTACCATGTTTGAATCCCAAAACTGAACTTCACTTAAACCTTATTTGTGTACTTAGTCCTAAATCATACCACAAATATTGTTTTGAACATCAAAAAGGTTATAATGACATGATCATCTGCAGGCATCCCTTGTACACACCTGAGAGGAGAGCTCTCTGTGGCAGAGCGCTACGATTGAGTTCTCCCTTACTGCCCTCCAAGATGGGCTTCATGCCCCCCAAAGAGGAGCCATCTGACACTCCTAGAACCTTCCTGAAGAACTGCTCAGAGTCCTGACTTTCCACCCCTTGTGGAAGACCTGTCAAAGTATCATGTAGGACAGGATGTTAACAACAGATATTAGATCTTTCCCCAAGTTAGTTTTGTATACTGTATATATAAAAGTATCTTCTCAGGGGATTACCTTCACTTTTTTCTGCATCAGAGTCATGAGGATCAGTCGATGCCTGGTCCTTCAGCGATGAGGATGGTGCAGATACTCCTAAAAATGTGCAATTTTAAAACCAACTTGGAATTGCTTCATGACCATAACAATAAACCAGTAACATCAATGTCCAAAGAGACACTTACCTGCACCTTCTCCCTGAGCTTGGGGGGCCTCACCCCCCTCTTGCTTGACAGGAAAATTATCTTCCACCGCACGATCCTTAGCCTCAGCTAGTGAGAGAAGCACAAAGGTCACACACCCTGTAATGACCTTTTCCACACATAATATCACAAATTATTAGCAGAGTTTTCATGTGTCACAGGTGAAGTTAGCGTTCTTACTCTCTGGGGCAGTAGTTCTGACCCCTGATGGTGCTGGTAATGAAGGTCGGACAAGGCATGCGCCTGGCCTCTGCCCTGGGGGTATCATCACAGCTTTCTTACTCAAGTCTATTAGTGTCTTCCCAAAGAAAGCCTCCTGCAGTGAATTACAAATATTTGTTATGAATATTACACACCTGAATACCTTGAGTTTCAAAATTGTTTAAAGCACCCAGCACAGAGAGATTACAAACCTGGAGATAAGCTGGAAACATGTCTTCAAGTTTGCTCTTCTTTCGTCCTCGACGTTTCTTGGCCTGTTCCTCCCCCTCCACTGGTTTAGGATCCATTATGTTATCTGTGTCAGGGTGAGGTCCTATAAATATATAACCATGGATTCAGTTTCCTAAATTTATAATATTGACAAAAGACACACAGTTTTTGCTGCATGACCGTGCTTTTCTTGCCCAATCCCTTCACGTTGGCACACCTGTTGCATCAACAGAGTGGCCTTATTCAAATGAACGAGGGGGATCTGTTTTTTCATGCAAGACTAATGTCTGTCTGAACATGGCCTTAGGAGGAGACCATAAGAATTATGGAATTACATCATTATCAAATTTAAATAGTGGATGAAATGAAATTCAACAGTTTATTGTTGTCACTAACCTTCCTCAATGGTTCTCTCTATTGGCTGTCCATCTAATGTAGTCTCTCCAGCCAGCTGGGCAAAGAATTCTTTCTTCATCCGTGTGTGACACTTCCTTTGTCGCACCATGAAGCCTCCAATTCCTGGTACGATTTATAAATAAAATATTTGTAAATAATTTGTCCTCAGACATCTATGTAGATGTTAAATGTTGTTTTGTTAAATTCTGGATATCTTACCAGGCCTGTAGGGTTTCCGCTTTCTTTTTTTACTATCATCTGTCTCTTCTGCTCCTTTGAGACCATCGCAGTCAGCCATGCCTTCAGTGCCTCCCTCTGCACCTGCCTCCCTTTCAGGGCTCCCAGGGTTCTCCATCTTGGATTCACATTCCATGGGCTCCCCACAGCCTTGATATACAAGATAAAAAATAATTTCACATTAAAAAAGGAGCAAAACACTCCTGAAAATTAATCATAAATCAACGGATGAGCAGAAAGTGCGCCAACCTTTCCCATCCTCCCCTTCTCCTTCGACCTCTCTCAGATCCACTCCATCAGGACCTCCTTCACAACACAGAGTGCCGAGACGGGAGCGACGTTGCCGTCTCTTGTGCAGGGGAGACATGGAGATAGTGCGAAGCAGGGACATACCCGACTCTGTCAGCCACACACCCTCCAACCAGTAGAACTGGGGTTCTGTAAAGTGGCAATTGCTAATCTGAATGACTTAAAATAAAACAAACAAAAGACAACTATGCAGAATGTGCTTGTGATAATCAACATGAATAAGCTGAATCCACTGACCTGGCTCTTTGATCTTTATTGAAGCCATAATGGCTGACTCTACTACTGTGACCAAAGGCAAAAAATCAAGTAGAGAAAGCAAAAGAAATTGTGTCATCAGTAAGGACAGAAATACCCTGTGAATATTTTTGATACCACAATTTTTAGGTCTTCACTTTTAAAATAGTGTCATTTCGAGACTTACCCACAGGTTTCGGAACATATGGGGTGCAGGATGTGCAGGCAAAGCCCTCATCAGAAGCTTGTTCCACCTCATCCTCTGTGTACAGACTCTCACAGACAGCATGGACCCATCTGCACAGGCACACAGAAATACATTGATACGCATACTTTTCATCACCAATCACCGCAAATCAAAGATGTTATGGAATAATTCATGATATGAGAAATACATGAATAATCCATTCCCCGCTTGTCTTCATTAGCTGTAGTCTCATGAATACCTCAGTTTCTGTGCCTGGTGTGTGCGTGTGTAGTTCTAATGAGCAGCACCCACCGATCACAGTACTGACACTGCAGCAACAGCTCCTCCTCCATGAAGTTCTCTCTGCATACTGGACACGAGACGAGGCTGGCACATGGGCCACAGTGGGTGTAGTTGTTCTGCCACTCACAGTGGAAACCTGGTGAGTTGGAACCACACTGCACACAGCACACACACCTGCACAGAAGTAGTAAAGCACTCTTTAGATTTAGCAATTATATAGGCAATATGGAAGATTTAATAACAAATAAAGATGCCATTGTGAGTGGTCTAACAATTTTCTGTTGCTACAGAAGCAAGAGACAGAGGGATGGGCCTCTGAATTGCTATTGCAGGGCCGAGGCTTGAGTGTTTTACATAATATGCAAATTTACATGTATTCATTTCCATTTGACCCTATTCAAAGCTGCAAGGCTGAACGAAACGTTGTGGTCTAAGAGTGTAAGTATATTTTTTTTACCATTTGCACTTCCAACCACCCTTGGGTACAGTGTGCAAGGGCGGGTCCAAGCAGTAGGTGTGATAGCTGACATCACAGTCATCACACAGCAGCAGACGGGAAGGGTCCGAAGCCTTTCCACACATCTCACACACAATACATTCCAAACAGCGCCAGCCCTTGCGAAGCATCGTCTTGGTGATCTACAGGAGATACAAGGTTTAATCTGTCTGGATTTAACCAGATACAGTGACGAAAAAACAAAAAACAGGATAAAATTGTGCTTACTTTGCTGTTCACACAGTAAGGATGGTAACACTGGGCACACTGGGCACAAGCCAACAACTGCCCCTCCATACCCTTTCCAAAACTGCCACACACAACACACATATCCTAAAGCAGGAGAGAAAGTGAGAAGGAAAAATGAAAGAAAGGAACAAAGAATCTATCTGCATCACATTTCAAAGTGACACCTTTGGTTCTTGGCAGAAAAAATGCCACAGGGTAAATGAAAACGTCAAACTACAAGAAAAGCTGTACCTGGAGCAGGACAAATTTATCAGTGTTTGAGAAAAGAACCACTGTGTTCTGCATGGTGTCATCTTCCTCATCCTCTTCATCCTTATTTATTCCAGTGTCTGTGGTCATGCTTAGCTGTGGACAAAGGGATAAATTATGTGTGATGACCACGCTATAAAAGTGAAAGGATGTGAAAGAACATCTGAATGGCGTGTAAAGCACAGCTCACCAAGAAAGCATCAATGCAGGAGGCCATGGCTTTGAGGCGTGACCTCCCACCACGCCCTCTCCCTCCACCACCCCCTCGAGGTCTACGCTTCCCGGGGAAACTATTGCTTCGCCCCTAAAACAACATTTCAATGTCAAGTTGTGTTGTGACACTGTGACAATGGCACCTTAACAATAAAAACAAGTTATGGTTAAATGTCAGCTGTTCAAGCTGACTCAAAAAACATAGACCAACTTGTACATGATGACCTCACCTGTTTGACCCTTGAGCGGCCTGGGGATCCTCTGCGTTTTGCCTTCTCTCTGTCGCTTCTGAGAGGTTCAAAGGGAAGCGAATCATCAGTCTCGGTGAGCAGGTTATCTGCATGTGAGCGGCCAGCAGGTACAAGGCCAAGCTCCATGGAGAGCTGAGGGTCGGGTTCTCCCGGAGAGCCCAGAAAGCCACTGCTGCTCTCGTCTCCATGGCTCATATTAGACATCTCGTCTAGCAGTAATTCCGGCTTAACCTCTAGCTCCTGCAGTTCCTGTTTAATGTCATCATTATGTCCTTCTCCTTTCATTTGCTCATCATCCTCTTCTTCCTCCTCCTCCTCCTCAGAGTGAGGTAGTAACCTCCCTTCCATGTCCACAGCAGAGAGGGCCTCTTGTGTGTCTACTGATAAAGAAAGAAGAGAAGCAAACTGGGGGTCCTGGCATGGACTCCTTTCCTGCTGATCAACCATGGGCAAATGCTCCGTTTTGTCCCCAGAGGCAGGAGAGGCAGGTAACTTAAGTGGATCCTTAGTGAATGGTTCTCTGATAGAATGATCAGAGCCACTCTTTAATAACTCTGGTGATGCTTCTTGTTCCACTGAAGGAGCTGCCTCCTGCTCCTCCACCTCCATATTTTCAGGGCCCTGCTGTGACACTGGTGTTGGTTGTACTTTAGGGTTGTTGGACTGTGTCTCTGCTGTGGGATCCTGGGAAGGGGTGGCTTCGGTCACCTGGCTGACTGCCTCTTCTGCTCTCTCTTCATCAGCAGATAGACAAGAGGACTCCTGTTCTGTTGTTGCACATTCTACATTTGAGATTTAGGAATGCAAGTTTATTAGTGTTATCATTTATAAATCTATCATTAGTTACGGCACATCATCATACAAACTATAAAGCACTGCTTTGTGCTCATTTTCAAACACTATGTATTCTGAGTTTACCTGTAGACTCAAGTGGAGCAGCGGGCACCTCAGAAGTTAATTCTTTTGTTGCTATCAGCGGCTCCTCCTCACCGGTTCTCTTCTCAACATCTGTTGTCTCAACAACGGCAGCCTCCACCCCTAGAGCCAAAAGTAGTTAACATACGTAGACACATCTCAGACATGAATAAGACACAGTCCTTAACTAGTCCAGTAAAACTCACTCCTGGCATGTCTATAAACTTTGTATTCAGTTGTGTCTTACCCAAGTCCATGGGTGTTTCTTTGTCAGTTGTGGCTTCAGTCTGACCCATCTCTGATGTGCCTATCTGTCCTGGTGTCACCTCTGATAAGCCCGTATGCTCCTCTGTCACCATGTCTGCATCCGTTTGGATTGTCATCTCCACCAAATCCACATTTCCTTCAGTCTCCTCAGATGCCTCTCTGGTTTCCACCTCTGTTGCCTGTGGTTGAGTGACAGGCTGCTGATGATCCTCCTTGCAAAGCAGGCAAATGCACTTGGCTTCTGGAAGCTCCCCCGATAAAGTACACTCACTGTGCACCCACCTAAGACAATAAAGAGATCATCAAGATGAAATATTGTAAGACAGTTTAAGCAAAAGGCACACATGATAGCTGCTTCCAATGAACACTATTGTGCTTGTGCATTGAACTAACCTGTGGCACATGCTGCAGCACTGCAGAGCAACAGATGGGTTGGCAGCTTTGCTGCACACTCCACACATAGAGCTGCGGTGACGCTGGCAGCCCTCACACACGGTGTAATTGTCAAACCACTGGGCTGAACCTGGCAGCACCAGTCCACGGACACCACACTCCGTGCATACACGACACCTCTGACAAAACACAGATAATGGGTATAAAATGTAAACCAAACGCTGAAAGAGGCACAAGAAAGGTCTGAAAGATTTACTGTCATAAAAGCCAGTAACAATGCCGTCACAGTAAGTTTCCATGGTAAGGGCCTCCCTTTGCACAGAGGGGAATGACAATTGTGACTTACTCTGCATTTCCATGGGTCAGAGGGAAGAGAATCCATGGCTGGCTGGAGACAAAAGGTGTGGTAGCCCTTATCACAGGCATCGCATACCAACATTTTGGAGTCTTCGCCTGGTTGTCTAATAAAATGAAGAATCCAGACATTACTCATAGGAATCAGGAATAAAGTAAAACTATCTTAAAAACAATGTAAATAGCATGCAAAATGTTTAGCACAACATCTGAATCTCTTGTTCAGGGTGCAGTTTGACTCCCAAGGGTGGACTCACCTGCAAGTCTGGCACACTTTACACTCTGGGCACTGCCATCCTGCCCGCTGGATCGGCGTGGCACCAATCTCAAGACAAGCCGCATGGTAATGTTGGCCACAACCCGTACAGAACAGCAAGTCCATGAGCTCACCCGCTGAGTCACACACTGCACACCAAGCCTCTTCACCTGCTATAAAAAACAAATAAAACAAAAAAGAAAAACAACAAACATACAATTTGTATTTCAAAAAAATAAACTCATATTAGCATGGTTTTTGTTTCAGTTCTTCTTAGTTCAATATGTAACAAGCTCAACAAGCTATTAAGGCAGCTGACATTTTCCAACAACATAGATCATAAAAATGTTAAAAGCCTTCGCTGACAGGCCACAGTTGCTAAACCAAACTCAGTATGGAGCACACTCTTTGTCTTACAGGAATTCTGACAAAGCATCACAGCCTTGGACCTTTAGGGCAGTTGGTCATCTCTGTGATATGTGCAAGCCTTATATTGTGAGCATGTCCCAGGTAATGACATCACATTTTTACACAGGTGTCTGGTTCTATTACCTAACTCCTCGGCCTTGTCTATATGTTCTGGACAGAGAAGGACCAACTGCTTCATGGACTGGAAGGATCCACTGGCTGCCGAGCAGGGGAAGTGGTAGAACCGTGAGCAGCCCTCAGCATGGCATCGAATGGTTGCACCTAGTCTTTTGCAGTATTCGCAAAGCTGAAACAAACCAATGATAACAAGTGAGTAATGATTATATTCTCACCCAACACCATCTAATCCAAGTCTATGGACAGCACACTTACCCGCTGTGTCCCTGAGATAACGGCCTTATCCACGTTCTCCAGCTCCTCTTTCTCCATCCGCTTTACTCCTTCTGACCACACCGCACACCAGTGATGAACCCAACAACCCCCTGTTCAGTATAAAGCCCAAAATAAGTAGAATCTCTAACTAAACAATTCTACATCTCAGAGCTGTATTTCTATTAAATGGAACATTTGACTGTCTACTGATGAATTCATTTGTAAAAGTAATAATGTATTGTACACGAATAAAATATAACAGTATAATGCTTTGAGTTCAACCTGAGTCATCAAAGAGTGCCGCCAGACAGGGGGAGTCGGCAAATCCAATGGAAGACAGGTCATCATTCCCGGGTTGTGGCAGTGGGGAAGCTGATGGCTTGAGGGTCGGCCGCTCAGAAGATGGCCCAAAGTGTCTCAGTTCCCGCTGTCCATGCAGGCTCCGCTCCACACAGTTACAAAGCACACAGGCTCGAACGTTCTCTCTGTACAGTAACATTCAGTTTTTGGTATCACCAACAATGAGCTATCTTGGGATAAAGACTGCTACAGTATGCATGTATCGCTTTATGATCTGAATGAATAACTTACACAGGTGTACTGGAAGAGGCTGCAGTAGCAGCAGACGTGTCCTCAGCACCAGAGAGGGCTTTGGACTCTTCCTCAGAGGAGACAGGCTGCTTTGCAGGGGCATTGTCATCAGCTAGAAAATGAAAAAAAAGTTGAGAGAAAAATAAAGAAAATTTCATTTTAAAGCAAACTTTAATTTTTAAATTAAATGAAATGTGAATATATGGATCTCACCAAACCCATATTGACTTATGTGCAAAAGGAAAATAAAAATATTCTAAATTATTCTACTCTATTGTCATCCCTACTAATAAATTATGTTAACAAAATCTCTTGTGGGGAATTAAAAATCTTTGTTTTCAACCATGTGAATTTTTCTTTAAGAGAAATTACAATGATACTAATCTTTATGGAGAATAGTATACATCTATAATGGATGATGTTGGGACATGGGAAAATTAAAAAATAAATAAATAAAAAAAAAATAAAAAAAAAAAAAGAGAGAAAAGAACACAATACCTGTTGGTTCAGAGTCATTCTCTTCGCAGTTTGATTTCTGCTCGTCCATCCCCCGTGCTGATTTTGACCTCCTTGACAGAGATCTGCAATGTAGAATCATAAGTAGCATCAACTTTTCCTTTTATTCAGAAGAAGAATATTTTCATAAAATTATTTACAGAACGTAAACAATCTGTGGGTATTTTGTCTGATAATAGAAAGATGAATATGTCATTAACATCAGGTCTGTTATCACTGCATAATGAATGGAGAGAATAGATCTGATAATGGCATGAAAAACAACAGATCTATGTTTACTTCCATAAAAAATGAACAGCTTTGATATATGCAGGTACCCACTTACCAAAATAAAAAACGAATGTGTTCATTAGCCATATGTATATCATCATTAAAAAAGGAGTCAAAAACGCACCTTTCATTACCACATCATGCTACACACTAGCCTCCCTCTTCATCCAAAAGCACTTTTCACAAGAACACCTACAACCAAGAATGCCACCAATTAAATATGGCTGTTATGTCCTCACTTTTGCTGATTCCTTGTGTTAATCTGACTAACGTTAGCACTAATGCCATCGAGCTTTCTCGCAAACTCATGAAAATAGCACCAGTGTTACAATAGACAGATCAATCGGAAAACGCTTTAGCAATTCAAGTTAATATTTACCCAGCAATGCATAATCCAAATCGGTGAAACTGCTCCGACAAAAAGCACAAAATGTTACAACTAAAATGGTGTTTTCCTAAATAAAACAACCATAAATCGGGATACACAAAGAAAACACAACTTCCGTATGTAGAGCTTCCTGTTGCAGCGGGGCTCTTTTCGTGCAGAACCATTGTCGTTCGCATCATAGTTCCGCTATGAGATTCACGCCATAAACAAAAATACTGTTAAACAAACAATACAGGACTGGGTAGGCTCACCATATTTTTCATTCACAAAGCTAAAAATGGGAAGTCATATCAGATTTTTAATGTCTAAAGTCCAGTAATGGTAAAGATAGTTTAAAAAAGCGCTGATCGGCTTAGACTCCCAACATATATTTCAATTGTGGTATAATAACAGCCTCACAGATATTTGTCAATATGATTTTGAACCTCCAAATGTTACAAAATAGACAACCGAGGGAAGATGCAATGCTTTATGTCCTAATCTAATGTGCTCAAAAGACAATAAATTAGACAGTGGCGTTGACATATAGAGCCAGCGTAGATTTCATCAGTTACACAACAGAAATTGTGCCATCATACTTATAAAATCATCCTGTGAGCTAAGGTTACCACACACACATTTCGAAATATGTCCTATTCATTGTCACTAATGCAAATGGTAAATGGTCAGTGCCGTGGACGAGTGCGCTTTTCTTTTGTTATTAATATTTAGGAGTAGAATTCATTACAAATTAACATCAATAACAGCATGTAATGCATTATAACAGTAAGCCAGTGTACTAGTGTATATGCATCTTTGTCAAAATAATGTAGGACTGCTTTTCATGGCTGTCCAGTTAAAGCTTAAAGGGTAGAGCCAAAACTCCCAAAAGAAAATGCAAAATAAACCTGCACTATTCACTTCACCTACACAATATGCGGCGCTACATTAAACCATGCTAAACAGGTGGCATCAAAAGCTGTCAAAAGCTTAACGTAACTGAGATGGACAAAATGAATTTATCTATGTAACGTTAACGTTACATCTCCGTAATAAACATATTCGATGGCAGCAACACTGGAGACTCACTCCCTTCTCCACAGCAAACTAACGTCAAATCAGAGTCCTACATAAACTAGATGATGATATATCGCAGCTAATGGTCATGTAAAATGAAGTTGGCAATGTGCAAAGCAAAGTGATGACATGATGGCTAAGTTAACGTCTGAACACCCTGGCTAGCTAAGTTAACGTTAAAAGTGTTAACGTTTACAAATTAACTTTCCCGGTGAGTGTGTTGTTATTTTGTAATGTTGGCCCACAGCCGCCGTAATTTGTCTGCAATGATACAGTAAAAGATACTGAGATTTTTTATAGTTGAATAACTGCAGCGCTAAGCACTATTTCTCAATGTAAACACCGACTTCAAAGGGTTGATTCTGTCCAGCAAATAGCCTTGTCCATATTACTGGCGACAGACTGATACGGAAAAGCTAACAACTACCAACGGTGACGTAGCAGCAAAGTGTCCCGAAGAGGTAAAACTACGAGAAATACATTCAATTTTATGCACAGAAACATACACTTCTAAATATGTCAACCGGCTGCTCGGTGGATCGTAACTTGGACACAGCCAACGTAAAACATATCTCAACCTGAAGTTAGCATCCAGGTGCCATAGCTAGTTCTCCAGCAAGTAGACAATCCCATCTGGTCGTGGCTACCAGCTAAACGATTCCGATAGCAGGGCTAACATTACCCGGTCTAAGGTCAGGGTTGGTGTGTCTTTAGGTATGTCTGTTGCAATAAGTTCAAAGAGGACATAATTAAATCAGCTCACCTCACAAAAACAATATCGTCTCCTCATACATCAGCAAAATCCAAACAGCCACACAGCTTCCCAAAATGCTGATGGTCGCTTCATTTTATGTACCGGACTAACGCTGCGGCTAGCCGGCTGGAGGGAGAGTGGGGGAAGTGCACGTCGGCGGAAGGCAGGCTGTGCGGTGGTGCTAACTAGCTAGCTCTTCAACTAGAAGGATAATGCTATGGTTAGCTAGCTAACCAGCAACTTGAGCTGTGTGTCGAGTGGTCGTACACTGCCGGGGAACTACTAAGCACCGAGACAACTCTTCAGCCAGTCCCGAAAAAGGTTCCCCAGCGTCATGCAGTGAATCCAAACACTAACTGTCTGCCTAGCTCCCTGCTTGTGGATGTAGCTCGAAGGCTAACAAGCTAACATTAGCTAGCTTCTGCTCTGTTCTGGAATCTCGCTCGCGAGGTCGTTAAAGCTGCTGCAAGTTTACACAAAATAGACCGTCCGGAAATTACATCCCCGAACTTTGTTGACACGCCAGGAATTGTGTTTTTCTTTAAGTTTTAGTCGACTGCAGACACTCATCTACCTAAATTTACAGCTCAACTTTGCATAGGTACCCTTGTATGGGTCACTAGCATCTCTTCACTTCGCTGAACTGCGTTGCGTCCGCACACGGTTGTTCCGCCAAGTGACTAGCCGGTGCTAGCTGTGCTAGCTAATAATAACTACGTCAAAAATTAATTCATGCAAAAGAACGGACAACAATCGTGTTTTATTACTACATACAGGTGAAGTGTGTTGACAGCTCGAGTTCAACAATGAATAACTTGGTGCGAGGTTGATCATTTAGCACATAACATAAGATTTTAATCTGGAGAGCGCGGGCCACTGAAATATGGTGGATATTAGATATTAGGTCATTAGATTTTCGGATTCAGGGAAGCCATTTTTCATTAGATTGTTATGATTGTAAGACCAAAGCAGCTATGGCATGCCTGCAGATGAATGCATCGTAATAAATGTTTCGATTAATGATGGGGGGCGATCTCATTGAGTTAGATTAGGTTCATATCTCGTGGTGCAAATTCATTTCGCAATTAACATAACAAATAAGGGTCTGGTTGCAAATCACGGTTGCTAAATCCTTATTCTGCCTCTGTTTCTGTACTGCTATACATTGCGCATTTGGCTGGCGTGACTGAGAACGAAGTGCAATCGTCGATGGCTTGAATTTTCCATAATCTGAAGTAAACCTCGAGCAGCAGGTTCACTGAAAATGGACGAAATAAGAATATCCACGTAATGTTGCTCATTTTGACATGTTTTAAGGCTGTATATCTGTGGCGACATTGTTTAACTTTATTCCCCAGGCATATGCCCTACTTGTAAAAATCTATATAACGACATGGCGATGAATAATCAAACTGAAGTAACTGTACAGACCTTAAAGAATACTATATTGTCTTGAAAGCACACTGCCATCCAGCAGACAAGTAGGCTACACGTTACAACCCTGACAGTTAATTATTGGATACCAAGTGGATAATTTAAGTTAATTTTCTTACTTAGTTATTTATCATTTGTTTGGAAGTTCAAATCTGATCTTCATCTAGGGTAAGGAGCAATCACAATCTAACTGAGGGTAAACATTAGACCAATCCTGTGTGGGTCGGATTGGGTTGTTGGCCTTAATATGGTTTCCTTATCATTGTGAGAAAATCACAATGGCAAGGATGACCCAGGAAGGATAGGTTCAAGACAGCTGCTCTGAGTATTCTCAATAGTTTAACTGTTAATTTAATTGGAAGTACTGAGTGACATAGTGCAATATTGTCACAACAAAAACTAGTGAACCCAACTACTCAGTTGTTATTGAGATAAGGGCAGAAAGTCCTCAGAGAAATATATGTATAAAATATATAAATATATTTTTGAAGCTTTTATTTATCTATTTATCATAAAGTGTGGCACTGTCCCAAAGTAATTTTTATGAAAAAAACATTTATTTCATTCTGTAGACTATGAGGCTGTACTGCCAGATCTTGCGAATCCTCTTGTGTATGTGTAGTTCTTAAATCAAGACAACAGCCTTCCCATGCCGCCCTCTCATGGGCCACACTGTGAAGGAAAAGCCTGAGGCACTACACACAGTAAAGCTAGGCTGTCAATGGAATGATCCTATGAACTTGCAGAAAATTAGGTTGGGTGACAGTCTGTCCCATTGTGAGAAGGTCACAGGTTTAATCCACATCAGCTTCTGTATATCTCCTGTCATGCCCTAGAGAAAAACACTGAACTGTTACAGGTAAGTAGCTTACTTATAAGCTATAACTCAACACTTATAAGTAACTGTAGAGAAGAGCATCTGCTAAGGTAATGTTAGTGATTTCACACAAATGCCTGACGACTCATGTGAAATATATTGTGCACTCTTCTGTAGGCAATGAGAAAGCATCTGCTGCAGGGGGGTGATCTGCAGTTGACCCTGCAATGTGAAAGTTCTGTTTTAATGTATTTGTGTAGAAGCTTGTGTACAAAATGTGCACCTCAGGGCTCAGATGAGCATGCTGAAGAGAAAGGCGTTCAAAGAATTCTTATCAACAGGGTGAATGCAGTTGGCAAATCTCCATGCAATTAAAAAAGGAATTGTCTTCCACATTTGGAATGAAATTATGAATGTTTTGGTTGTGATAGCACTTAAGAAACTAGCTTCAACTGATATACACCCAAAGAATCTGGTTTAAAGTTTTAGTTTCTTTTCATAATGATCATGAGCTATTTGTGTGCACAAAACTTTAAAGTAATCAACAGCAGTTCTTAGAGGGCTATGCTTTTTAAAATCATGAGTTCTTGACTTACCAGTACTATTTAAACAGTTAAGTGGTTTCATATCAAGTTAAGTCACATTGTTTTTGATAGTTGTTCACTAGATTATAGACGATAAATAATTGATTGCAGAGGTGTTTAAATAATTGAAAAATCAGCCTATGAGAAGACAGCTGAAGTTTCAATCACATATGGCTTGATAAGATCTGATGTCTGCCATACAAAAAATATTGACCCTATTCTTCAGGTATGGCATGTGAAGTGATTAATTAATTTTCATTACAAGGCCCTGGAAAAATGATGCACTTTAACAAACAAATAACATATTTGTTTAGTTAATGTGTGAGTATCTCTGCTTGAATGTGGGGTGTGCAGGTTTTCATTTTGAAAACAGGTTGTTACTGGGCCCCCTGACAGGATTAGTTAACTCCCCATTCAGCTTTAGCAAGATTGGATTAGATTTTGGGAGGCTGAGACTGGTTGGAAGACAGTGACTGATTGGCCAATGGATGTAAATCGAGGGTGGTATTAGGACACCAGGCCTCTCCCATTGGCCGGTCAGTAGAACGAGTGCTTTCCCATCTGCCTCCTGCATCTCAAGGATAATCCCCTAGAATACCTCCACAGATGTTTACAACAGAACATAAACCGGAAGAGGAGAATGCAATGTACCTTTTCTTACAGTTAAATAAATTTAATTGGAAAAAAACACTGATGTCTACTTCTATAGGATGTAGTTTGGTCTGTTTGGAGTTTGTTTTCTGTTCATGATTTTGATAGTGCGGACCACTCCATTCATATATTTGCTGCATTGTCAGTGCTGTAAAATGGATTCTCTGAAAAAATTGCAAATTAATAATGTATTATTGTTGATAGACAGTTACCAATAAACTAAAAGTGTTATAAATTAAGTCAAATCATGGTTTATTAAATTAGAGTTTAGAGTTCATTATTATGTGTATGGAGAAATTTAGGAAATGACATGGATAATGTACAGGGGTTATACCAGTTCCTCCACAAGGGGGTGTATGACCCTGGATTTCTGGAGTATAACCCTGCACATTATTATGAATCTTTGAAACATTGTTTTACAGTAAACATAATTAAAGTAGATGTTTAATAACAACTGTCAAATTAAATGTCAAAATGTATAGTACAAACTGGTGCAAGTATGGAGCATGTAGCAAATTAGAAAGTTGTAGACACAATGGACTGTACGACAGTACTAACAGATACAGTACTTGTGACCCTAATTGATCAGTAGATACTAATGAAACTGTCTCTTGTAAGAAACCTGATAACTCCCTTGAAGTAGCTGTGTGATAAAGTGTGCCTGTGATAAAGTCAAGGTGGCGGCACAGTGTGGGGAATATTAAGTATGTCTGGGCTTTTTATTAACCAGTCATTCCCTCAGACTGGATTTCCACGGTGACATACATAACGCTCAACAAAATGAGCCCTGGAATTAACTTTTACATAAATTCTTTTCCAAAATGAGCAAAAGGTAAATCAGCTTAACAAACAAAATTTACTCCACATCTGAAAAAAGAACAGTGTTGCTTAATAAAATTACATTTTAATTTGTTTTATGACATGAAAACATGTGAGGACATACAGTACATGTAGTGGAATTATAATAAAATGAAACATTTATATATTATGATTCAGAAAGTACAAAAATAAAGATTCTATTGTGGGAAAATGCATTACATCCCATTAGAATAATACATATATATATTTTTTTACATATAAAACTGAAATAATTAAAGAAATAACTTGATGTACAAATAGACTATAATACAGTCATTTTGGTATTACCATTTTTACATCAACCTGCTCAGACAATCTGTGTCTGCATATATGTATTAGCATATCATTATGATAGAGTATAATAAAAAAAACAAAAAAAAAAAACAAGCAAGTCATTCCAATGTTTTTAATTTATTGAAGAAATGAACAGGAAGTATTAGGGTAAATGTATCAAAATTGCAGTACATGTATTTTGAATATAAGTCTATAGTTTTAGGCTTTTAAGGATGAAAGGAGTTGGAGTCTAAAAAGATGCATCCAAAACTGTACAGTAATCTAGCATACCAGTGCACATCTGATGTCTGTCTTTGCAAGGAGTGCTTCTCTTTGATTCCAATCCTCAGAGGTTCACTCAGATTGTCTCGTTTGTTCAGAACGCCATTATTCACATATACACCTGCTTTATCCTTTGTGGCCAAAGTGCTACAATGAAATGGAGTCTTAGTGCGAGCTGTTTCACCAGTGGTCTGCTGTTCTTTTGTTGTCTCCCCCCACAGTAGCAGGTTGAATGAGGAGAGGAGTCGCAGAGGTCCAAACGCCCAGTGTGCGAGTCTGTGGTTCTCCACCAGTGCATAGCTGGATGCAAGCACGCCATCAACAAACAAAGTTCCAGCGTCTGTCAAGGGCGCATACACTCCCAGGCTCTCCTCTACTGAAACTGAGATGATTCGAGATGGACGTACGTGACCCTCCGCTGTATGGATGAGAACACAGTCTCCTGTTTTGGCTCTGCTAGCAAACTGAGCCTGGTGCTCACTGCTGTCGAGTCTGCAATAGGGGGCTAAAAAGACCAAGTGATGTGGAGTGAGGGCCAATCTATGGCCATCCTCTGTCTCCAGAGACAGAAAAGTAGACCAGCTTTCTTGGTCCCGGTGCAGAAACAGGATGACTTGGCTAAACACGACTTGGCCTGTCCCAGACAGGGCCATGACTCTGTCCCCAGGAGCCAGTGATGACAGGCTCTTCTGCCCCCCTCCAGCTACAGTCACCCGGGCCCAGCCTGGGAAACAGCCACCTTTTTCCACTGCAACAGAGTGATCTGCAGGAAGGTCAGCAGAAAAAGCCAAGATGACTAAACACAGATTATGTTCCTTTTTTGTCTTAAATGTCCTGATACACCATACAGCGATGTGATGGCATTTGACACAGTTAACAGCATGACCTTCTATGAAAGCTCCCTCTTTAAACTTACCAGCTTTTACGGAGCAGTGGATATGATATTTGGACTCATAGTGGACCCAGTCAAAGCCAGCCTCCACAGCCAGCTGGGCCAGGAGACCATACTTCTCTGTTTCCCTGTCATCAGTGGTTATATCCACGGCCCGGCCTTCATAGTGCAGAGAGCCAGGAGGGTGGTGACCGTCTTCATCCCAGGCCTCTGTCACACGCAAGTGTACCCCTGGCCACTGGTTCATCACTGCGATAGCCAGCTTGTTCAAACAGTCCTTGCATCGCTAGAACAAATGAGACAGACGGAAGGTTTGAAGTTTGGAGCAGTAAAAAAATATCCCACCCCGTGCAAATATTAATCATAGTTTTGAAGCAAATCTAAGGAATCTTCTTAAAAAATGTTTTTGCTTCACTTTTATGTTTAAAATGTAAAAAATGGCCAATAATTTGCCATCTGATTTATAAACGGACTCAAAAATCCAGTGTGGCTCTAGAACAACATTATTCTAAAGAAAACTACATTTATGTTTAAGTGAGAATCCGGTAACTGCTTCCTGCTTGGTGAAATACCCAGATTCATTATGCCAAGAGTCAAACAATCAAACAAACATATCTTCTCTCTTCTCACTTTTTTTTAAAGACTAATGTGCAAAGCATTCAGGTAGAAATCGACCTTAATATTAAATATGTAATATACCTGGAAAAATGTTAATGATACAACTTTTGATTTTTAGGTTATTTTAAAGTTTTATTTTTTGATGTTGTTAAAAAGTGGAAACAAGATCAATGAGGTATTTTTGAAATATGAATAAGCAGAGTCAATACTGGATGCCGATTCAGTAAAACTGAACCTCGATCTTAGTTTTGTGATAAAATGAATAAGGATATATGATCTTTTGGATTAACGTGTATTTGTGAGTCTCTTTTTTTAGTTATAATTCCTATTTTTGTCTGTTATTTTGCCTGAGGGGAGGGGTGAGTTGAGTGGCAGGTTTATTCTTAGGTGTAGAAATACTGTATTGAGCGCCTTATACTGTGAGTTTTTCTCATGTAGTTTTGGACACTTTTGCTTTAGGACTTAGGAGATAATAAAGAAGAAGGATTCTCAGGTTAATTTTAAGGCAACAATTATATTTTTAGTCACTCTGTCTGCAGCACGTTCAATGTACAGAGAAAGCCATGTCTCAACCAAGCTCAAGCCGAAGTGACAGACACTTGTAATCATTTATTAACAAGGGGAATGGCACCTAAGAAGCCAGGAGGTGTGTACAGTATGTGACTCTACTCTGTACCTCAGTATACAGACAGACTTCAGTGCAACTCAGAAAAAAATGATTCCATTATTTCAGCACCGTCTCTGACTCCCAGGTTATGATTGTTTGTTTGCTGGCATTGTCACACAATTCCTCCTCTGCTCTGCTAAAGTCCATCTCAACCTTGCTCAAACAATCAGGGTACAAGAACAAAGCTACTGTAGCCAGTTTGGCACATTCCTTGGCCTTTTCGACAGGGTGACAGAATAATCAAGGCCATTCTCTGCCTTTCCAGATTGTTCCAGGCTTGAGTTTCTCTGTTTCACCCCTGAGACATTTAATCAGAAATGTGCACAGTGACTCTTAACACCCCCGTGGGCCGTAATATCACAGACTGTCAGCATTGTCACAAAATAGCAGCCTGAAAAATGATGACGTCAGCATCTGAAGTGATACACTCATCATCATCTCCTGAATTCACTTGTGACCTGTGATGTGGCAGGTCTTGTGGCCTATAATTGACTTATTAAAGCTTATCTTGCAGCTGATTTTTTTATTTATTTATTTTTTAAACTGAGGGTTGGGAGAGAAAGTGATGAGAGTGTGAGAAGGAGAGAGTTGGGTGAGAAGAAAGCAGTGTAGCGGAGAGTTGAGGTTGGGACTAAAGAGAGAGGGCAGAGGGGAAGAATGTATGGGCATGGACTTGGGAATGTGACACCAAGAGTGAGAAAGCGAGAGAGACAGAAAACAAACTGGGTACATTTTCCTCGCAATGCCATTGAAGAGAGGCGTTTCATTGTCAGAACTACAATAGTCGCTTTTCCGACGGTGCCATTACTTCAGCAGGCGGGAATTTTGTATAGGCGACCCCTCTGAGTCTCCAAATGACGCACAAAGAGCGTCTTTCACATCTGGGCAAAAGAGGGGCACATGCACGCATACACACACTCACACTGGGCATCAAAAGGGCACACATATACAGCCAGAGATTTCCATCACAAAAAAGAAGAAAAAATCACTCGGGAAGATTCATATCCTAAAACAATCACAGAAAGCCGCAGCATCCAAAACAGAGCGACGTCTGAGTGTCAGGGAACCCTGTGCCATTCAAAATGTGTAGTCCAAATGTTGTTCATCTCCCTGCCCAGATCTTAAATCCTCTTGGCCACCAACTGTCTTTTCTAGGCATGATCTTTAAATGTATTCATCCCAAGTAAACAATCAGGAATTCAAGTTTAAGTGCCTGGATATTTCTCCTGGCAGCCACACTGAGAACCTGCCATAGGAATAGTTTTATTTCCAATAACAAAGACTTTGGTTAAAGATTAAAAGGAAGTGTTCCTGAAGGAGAACTCGGTCTCTTAAGGGGTAGTGTTGAATTACATCCTGATCTTCTTATCACAAGAAAAGGGAGAGGGAGTTAGGTTAAAACGTACACACTCTGTGTTGTTTGTGCGTTAACAGCCGGGCAAGGGCAGGCTGTGAAGAGTACAGCAAACAGTGAACAAAGTTACAGGTTTTAAATTTTGAAAGGTGCAATGCTGCATTTTTGCAGAATACGGCATGTAAACTGACGTCTGTCCCTTCACGTAAATGTGGTTAATGGATCATCTAGAAGAGGGATTGTCTGGAAAAGGATCAAGAGAGAGTGAAACAGTGAGAGCACCTTTGAGCCAATCTGCAGCTGACTTTATGCAACAGTCGCCAGGTGTCATTGGGGTTCATGGAAACCAGTCCATCCTTCAAATCTGAGACAAATGAACCTGATTAACAACAACATACCAGTCTCACCTTGGTCATGAAGCGGTCTGCGTTGGTGTTCTCCTCATCTTTGAAGACAATGTCTGGGTTGTAGTTGCACACAAGTTCGTTGAAGCGCTCAGAGTTGCGTGTGATCTTGCCCTCTGCTCTCCCGCTGGCCCCGAGGTTGTTCTCTGAGAAGTTGGGGAAAAACTGCTTGTAGTGCATGGCTGTGAGTTTTCTGTGCCTGGGGCGGACGCTGCCGTACCCGGGGCCCGGTCCGCATCCCTGCACCAGCCATATACAGGTCCATGCAGCAAGCAGGCTGGGCTGTGCCAGGCGGGCCCACCAGGACTGCTTCATTGGGGAGGGTTGGGGCTCCCAGGAGTCAGTGGCTCACAGTGCCTACAGCGATAGCCCAGTTCCAGGTGTGTGATAGCATGTGAATGAGGATCAAATCTCGGTCCATTCCAAGTCATGGAGTATTAGTGCTGTTATTTTCATCACAAAAACCTACTGAATGTTGGGATATCTTGATACTTCTTCTAACTGTATTCAGTCTTATGATCAGAAAAGAGCTTAAAAGTACAGAGACAGATGTTCTGACTCAAAGTTGACTGTTTTGATGATTGACCTCACGAAAAGCTACAGCCCAGTGCCTGATCTGATTGGCTTGAATCTAAAGTTTCTAAAGTTTGGCACCAGTTATTCAAAAGAAGACATAACAGCTTTTCTGTCCAAAGGTTTCAGCAAGTAGCCTATCAGCTTCCTCTAAGTCTCCTGTGAACCGAAAGTCATCTTCACACGTCCTTCGGAGGTACCTGTCTCGGCGCAGGTGTTTGTTCAATTTTTTTTTATTTTTTTTTATTTGGGTTTCTGCTCACTTACCGCTTTCCTCTCCACGCAGTTCCCTTGACGAGGCACACAAAGTGACGCACGCCTAAAGCCCGACGGCTCCCTGACTCCCTGCAATTCCTATTGACGCTCCTGTGGCGCTCTCATCCTCTTTGTCCATCCAGAAATGCGTCCGTTGAGACTCTTGTTTTTTTTGTTTCTTCTTTCTCTCTTTCGTCCACCGTCTTCTGTCGCGTTTCAGCGCTCCTGGCCACCTTGCACCAGCCATTGGGTCTTATTAGCGTCCGGACAAGATTGCCCTCCCTTCCTCTGTGCGCTCCCACTGCGACAGCACACGCCTCCAATTCAACTTTACAAAGGACATATGATTAGCCTACTTATGTTAACACAATGACCCCCCACCCCCCTTCCACCGCATTAAAAATCTCCAAAGTCAAATCAATGCTACTTCACAGCTCAACCTACATTTACTAAAACTTTACAGACATTATATTTTAAATAATGTAGATATTAACGTTGTGAGGCATATTTAAAGCACAAGCAATATTTTCACAGTTGGGAAAACAAACTCTCATGACAATTGGATATCTCTGAACCAACATGCCTTGCTTCTGTTTGCTCATCCCACCCTCCAGTGTGGACGGGTCAACTGTTGATGACTCTGTCTATTAATAACACACGCACACACACAGAGTTGAAGGTGAGGGTCTTAGAGGTAACACAAGTGTCCAGCCTTGACACCCCTGACTGTGACTTACAGTGCTGCCTTCCTGTGTTTGGGGAGCCAGCCTGACCCCCCCTGAACCCAGTGCACCCAAGACCTCTCCACTGGAAACACCCGCTGGCCACATCAACATATTATTTTTATCCATTTCAGAACAATAGCTGGGAGAGTCATAAAATGTGTCAGATAATGCCGAAGAGGGAGCAGAAAAGAAAGGAATCATTGTGTCTCAGGGGCCTGACACGTGTAATCACATACGGAAGCTTAAATTAATGGCAGATTAAAGGTCGTAGTGTGTCACCATCCTATCTCTGGCTTCCTGGAACACTTCAGGACTCGATGCATCATGGCCAGTTCCCTCACAGTGACTTTGTTTCAAAGAGGCTTTGGCCCTCAGCAGAGCCGCTCACTGCTTTCTGGGGGTTTAAAGATGCTTCCAGGTTAAATCAATGTTAAAACAAACTCTAAACGTCCCGCAGAAAAATTCTCATGTAAACTCTTACCTAAAAAGCAATTGAATTTCTCATAGTGAGCCTGTTCTAAACAGCCCTTGAAATGTTGCTTTTGCATATAGGCATGAGGAATAGGTCACAGAGCTCCACAGTGACCGTGGAAAGGCATCCCTTGTTGGGGAAGTTTCCAGAAGATCCCAGGATGTTGTAGGGAGGGGTGGCAAGGCGAAGCTGCATCTTCCTGTCCTCATGATAAACATGGAAGAGGGATCAAGTCTGGCCCGAGCAACACAGATGAGAGATTTCAGCCTTCATGTCAAATGCAGGGAATGACTCAATCAAAGAAAAGCAACAAACACTTTCATATCTACAATTACCCACACCAATGTTTCTTTTCAAAGCCATACAAGAGAAGAGATTTCCATCTGACATGAAAGGGAAAGGAAGGAAGCAAACATCTGCGGGTTGGAGATGGAAATAAAGTCATTATTATTAGTTTTTATTTTGGTGCCCCTATCCCCCTGCCTTCCCCTGCCTCCCCCTGCCTCCTTCTGGCTCTTAGCATTTTACTCCCCCATTTCAGGATGGGAGTACATGGCTGGATGAATGGTTTGGTTTCCTGCAAAGCCACAGAACAGAAAATGAGATCTTTCCTGCCTGGGTAAGACTCCCCTGCTTTATTCTTTCCAAAAGGACACACATGCTTATACCTGGTGGTCAAATACAGTATGTACCTGCAAGCCAGGTTTTCCTTCGTCCGTGGGGCTGTTGGTGAAAAACAGACACTAAAAACTACCTCATAACTGGCAAATACTGGTCATATACAAGTGCAGCCAAAGATGAAATTAGGATTGGAAGCTCTTTTTTTAACGACACATTTATCATAGAATAGAAATTAGGTTTTGAAACAATGCTGGCTTTGACATCTCAAGTGTTTGTCTTGTCTCTTGGAGCTGAATAGACACTCTGCAGGATCCACTTCCTCAGATGGAGGCCGTTAGAAGGGTTGAGGGGGGAAAAGGAAAGTCAAGGAACTGACACCTAACCACCTCCCTCCCCGCTCCCAAACACACACACACACACACACACGAGCGCCCCCCGTCCTTTCTCTTTGCCCACCACTGCACCGCCCATTCCACTGTCTCTCACTGTGTTATCAGCGCAGGAAGAAGCAGGGTGGTGCATTCTGATGTGGCTGCACACACTGCATGATTCTTGGCCTATGTATTTTAACTCTGTGTTGTAAGTCACACACCGTGCTTCACTTTAAAATGATACACCTAACACTGCATGTGCCGTGTGTTGATTTCAGGTGTGCCATGTGAAGTCAAGAGAGTGTACATAAACGTGTTGAGTCCAGGTTTAAGTTAACTTTGCTCAGCCTTGATATGGCCTTTTAAAAAGAGGCACCAGTGAGCTGAAGTTGAGGCGATGCTGCACTGAAGTGGACAATAGACTGAGAAGGGTGGAACTTCCTGGCCCCAGACAAGCAGGTCAGAGGTCAGATACGATGCTATACCTTGTTTTGTAAAAAAAAATATAATTTGCATTGTATAGATCACTCACTGTATGCTTAAAGAGCTCTCTATTAAATTGAATCAAATTGTGATATTACAGGTTTCTCCCTAAAAATACATGTCACACCAATCACCCTGAGCCAGCCAAGCAAAGGCCTGTGCCAGTCAATAGTGTGAGGCAAGTGTGCCGTGAGTGTGCAGGCAGGATGGCGGGCAGCTATGGCAAACCGACAGTATGACCCATTATCAGTTGATTAGCGAGCAAGTCTCGCCTTTTCCTGTGAGTGGTTCTGTATTTGCAAGCATACAAACGAGGGAATAACAGCCCCTAATGCACTTTGGCATGAACTTCAAACAGCCGACTGTCAGGAAAGCTAATCTGTGTCTTTTTCCCCCCTTCATTCTTATCTTTTGACAATAAAGATAGCCTATCTCATCCCATTACAAGCTGCCCGTCTCCTGCCTTGTCCCCGATATGCCCAGCAACCAGTCCAATAGAGTGTGTTACCCAGTGGGACTGCTGGGACACTTTGATTGCACTATCAACCCTTAATATTTTGCTGCAGGGAGAGGTGCTATACCAATGTTTCTCCAACACAGTACAAGGTTAAGACTGATATGTTGGACTGCTTCATGATGTTTGTGTGTGTACAATGTGTCTCCATAGAGAAAAATAATCAAATTTGGTTTGCTGGAGATGCTCTAATAAGAGCCAAAAAGTTGAATGCGCCATTGGCACAAACTGTGCACTATTTCCCCAAAGTGTAACACAGTTTGGTGTCCAGACTTTCAGTAGCACAGTTGTGGCATTGTTTCTTTAAAGTCAAGGAGAATTTCAGTTCAGGGAGTGGGCGATAGGACTTAGTACATTGGCACAGCTTAAGTCTTTATATTTTACCAAAGGAAGGGTTTATATTCACTTAGCATCACTCAGCAATGTCTAACTACCGTTCTAAATGTGCTTCCCGAGTCATATACCAAGGAAAATTTTGAATGATGACTGTAAATTGCATTTCTCAAGTTGTTTTTGCTCTGAATCACCACCTTTAACCCCACAACTGACTACATCAGTCTGGCTTTGTTTTAACTTAAATGACACTGAACAAACTCTTTCAAGATACACTGATAATGCACAAACACACCTTGTATGTGGCTTATGTGTCACTTCCTCAGAAAGTAACCAGCCTCCAGATGTGCAAGTGATGTTACGGCGACATTTTAGTTCATTTCCTCTTAGCAAAGGAAACGCAGTGCAAAACAAAACCTAAACCAAATAAGCTCAATTAAAACATCCAACAAAACAAAACAAGAAATGCAAACAAAAATCAAGAGGGAGAAATTAATCAGAGCCGGGGTTTTGTTGAACTGACTTTGGAAAAATGAGATGAGGAAATGAACAATAGGCAAGGAAAAGAGATGGAAGAAAGGAGGTGGGTGGGTGGTGGTGAGGTGAAGGAGTGAATGTGAGTGAATGTCTCTTCTCCTCTTGATTTGCAGGGTTTTTATCTGGCGTTTGCATCGGAGTTGGGAAAGCGTGGGCTACGGCTGTAGTGGCGTCGCGGCTGGACACTATTGACAGACAGGCTTTCTTCTGCTGCTGATTAAAAGAAGTGCAACAAAAGGGTGGAGGGATGTAGAGGACAGACGTCCACACCAGTCACACACACCCACCACAGGCCACATCAGATCACTCATGATGTAGTTACATTTCATAAAATGTAACAGCATCAAAGAAACTGTTTACGGTAGAAGTCCCATTGGTGTGTATCCAAAGAAGTTAAAAATACACAGACATTTTTATTGCTTTCTGCTCATAAAACAATGATGGTTAAAATTCAGTTTTAAGAAAATCTGAAACATCAGAGCATTTCAAAAGTAAACAGTAAACATTTTTTTTAATCTTTGAGAGCAACTCTAAAGATTTTTTGTCTCAACTGTATCACATTCAACATTTTTAACACCTGTTAAAAATCCTAAGAGTAATGACTCAACATGTGAAGTATAGATCCAAAAATGCCCATAAATAATAAAATTAAAAAACAGCACATTATCAACTTTGTGTTCCCAAAAACCAAAAGAAACTTCCCAGAAAAAAGTGAAACAAGTAAACCTAAGAGTGCTCCACATATAATACAATACATATAACAACCAACCAGAGAGAGAGAACCTCACACAACCCTAAGGTTGATGTTGGGTTTGAGAGACACTGTCCCCTGCTGGTCAAAACAACAGCTAATAACCTGCTGATACAGCAGCAATGGCAAACAGTGACACAGGATCACCAACACATTGAGGATGAAGAGATACACATAATAGAATTTGGGTCATCAAATTATAAAAACTGACACCAGAATGGACTGCATGAATCACATTCGTTATTTCAACATATCACGAGACTATTCTAAGCTTCCACCCAATGTCCAACAAAGACAAATGAGATGAAAAAAAATACTTCACGGAAAATAAAAAGCATACAGAAAATTTAGAAATTACTTTTGGTAAAGTCAAAGTGTGCTTTTTACTTATAAAATATTGCACTTCCCCACAAATTCTTAATAATTCACAGTTTGATTGGTCTAAGGCAGAAGTTTCTCCTAGTGAGTGTCACATGGCATTCAAAGGTCTTGCATAAGAGAAAAGTAAAGCTTTCTTTTTAGTGTGTTTTTGTATATTGTAGACCAGTCCTCAGACTCAGTAAGCTCACTGTCATCTTCAAAAAATAAAAACCCTGCTAAATAATAAATCACCACAGAAAATGCTCTTAATTCTACTATTAAACTGGGTTTGTAAAAGCGCTGTGACACAGACTATCACCTCACTCTCATATATTCCCTGTGTAACCTGTGGATCAACTGATAGACAAAGTACTCCGTGTCCTATTTGTGCCCAATAACAACTTCCTCTCATTTACTAACATAACACTGGTGCAGACTGAGCTCACCATACACATGGAAGTAAGATTCCCAATCTTAAAATAGTGGTACAACCTAAGAGAGGAAAGCGTGGGGAAGCAACGAGAAAGAGAGAGCACTCAATCGACCTGAAGCAGGAAGAGGAAATTATGTCACAGCGACAATGTAATATTTCAAAACAACTCTGCTGACTTTCACATGTGTCAACAGAGCAACAGCTATCCAATGAATCCTCTTTTTGTAAGGCATCAGGTTTGCAGGCAGATTGCTCCGTTACTGTCCACTATAGCAGGACAGCCAATATGGCTGTAATCCTTTTTACCCTTGTTCCAGTCATAACCATGGCTGAGCTAACCTCTGGTACCAGTACATGTCCTTGCAGTCAAATAACTGCACAAGTTTGGACCCTGATAAATTGGTCATTAAACACAGCTTTAAGGAGAGCTCCCACTGGACAGATGCAGGCAGACTCGTCACCATCTCCAGTCTCTTCCCATTGGGCGACCTGACCTATGTACCAACTGGCAAGGGGACAGAACTGCAAGTGCATTTAATCCAATAGGTGCACACTGAAGTGGCTGTTTCTCAAGGTTAGGAGAGGCAGTGGTGAGGACGAGAATTCACTGGATTTTAGAAAGTCCACTGGCCAGGAGGAGTCTGAAGGGGACGGTGGAGCGTGACACAGTTAAAGGCAGTCTGTGGAGACCTGCAAAAACAGAGAGGGAAAAAAAAGGACCATAACGTCACACACAATCACAAGGTGGAGCACAAAACTTGCAAAGCTAAGAAAAATAGTTATTTAGGTGAAATGAAAGTCTATTAATCACAGAACAAAAGTAAGTTGGGAGGCAGTGGGAAAGTGGAAGAAAGTTGCCACGGTGCAGAGATGCTATCTGTACTGTGAGGAAGGGGATTGCGTGTATATGTGTGCGCATTTGGCGTGTCCATGCTCTGAACGCTTGTTTGTGTTGGGTGGAGGGTGGAGGGTTAGAGGGTGTGTGTACCGCGAGGGGTCTGGGGCGGTGTGCCTGAAGGTCCCCATGGGGACCTGACTCTCCTCTTGTCCCTTTACACTTTCCTGAAAGAATTGTATTCTTTCTATCTGAGGAAGAGAGACCAGCCCATTGGGAAATGCGGCCAAAGGTGGGAAAACCTATGACACAGCTATCCAAGTGCAACAAATTTCAGCACAACACAACCCCACTGACAGAAAAATGTATGGATAACAAGTACTTTTCATCTTGCTTTATGGATTCAAAATTTAAGTAGACTGACCAAAGGCACGGATGAGCTCTCTCTGAACTGCCCAGGTGACTGTCTTGATCAGGGAGGCAGAGGTGAGACCAGCAAACATCATGTTGTACAGGAAGACAATGTAGAAGTTCCCAAGCCAGTTATACCGACCAAAGTCTCCCAGTAGATCGAAGCGGGTGATTCCTGACACAATGGAGGCCAGAGAAAATAAATGTTCCACATGTAAGCCACTTGCTCAAGCAGAGCTTCACCGGCAGATACATTCATGGAATACAAATGCCCTCTTGTGGGTGTTACTAAAACTACAAGTAAAATATTGATTCACTCTTGATATGACATATCCTGTGTCCCCATTCTATATTACATAATAGTTATATACCAATTATCAACGTTTACCCTCACAGTACAATCCCTATACCAGAATTATACACAAGATAAAAAGAGAGAGGAGACCATTTCTCCAGAAATGTATTTCTTGTTTTTATGTTTTCTATGATCTTCTTTGAACTGTCTAACCAGCAGCCACAATTTGGTCTGTTGTTTTACAGCTGTATGCAGCTTACTTTTTTCTTTTGTGCACTGCATTGTGGGGAAATAGTGTACATCAACAGCAAACTCAAAATTCAAGCACATTTAGATTTTAGATGATTTTGTAAAGTATACTTAATGACGTGGAACTAGAATTGAATGACACTGGGATAAATACTGTATTTGTCATTTATGCTACGTCCTTACCAAGTGTACGTGAAAAGACTGGCAACGCAGAGCTCAGGATAAGCAGTGAAACACAGTTTGCAATTATCTGAAACAGACACATTTAGAGGTTACTACAAGGTGTAAACACAGTACATCACTAGTTTCTTGTTATATCTCACTGTAAGATTAGATACACGTTTAGGTTAGCTGTCAAGTACCTGTGTGAGGTTAGTGTCCTGTGCACGAGGCAAGAGGCCAGTGAAGAGAGGTGAACTATAGAAACCTACTACTGAGGATACCATCAGGTAGCTGACAATCATTTTAAGGATGACACTGAATAGAAGAGTAATACACTCACATAGATAGTAAATAACATCCAGGAATCCATCAATGTTTTTTAATAAATGTAACGGCATGAGTCAACATCACACACACTGGTCAAACATGAAGGACAGTCTGTTGGTGGCTGAGTCACAGCCAGATGGACATGACTAATTAACTTCTGTGTACACACACTCATAGCTGAATGGGATGAAAGGATACAGGATAAGGACTACTTGAACTGCAGCGCCCAGTGAGCCGAACATAGAGAAGGATGCCATTCCCAGGTGAGGGTCCTCAAACACACAAAAATAAAAAATCATCAGTCTGCACAGATGACTAGCTGTTGCAACATGAAATGTTCATCATTTCTTTCTGGCAAAATCCTCACCTCCATTCCTCTGGGCAGAGCCGTCTCATCCAGAAGCAACTCCAGCACATTGAAACAGACCATCAACACACACATCACCTGAGGAGACATAAACCGCAATTGTACTATAAAAACACTCATCTGGGTCAATGAAATAAATTAAAGTTAAAGCTTTTTAAAGTTAAAGCTGATTTTATTGATAAATAAGTGTGTACCGTCAGTGCAAGGAGCACAAGCATGGCCAGTGGATAGCCCAAGTTTCGCTGCCATGGAGACGCTTTCCTACGCATCTCTGTTTGGGAAACAAAATGGAAAAAAAAAAAAGAGCAACAACAAATGAATGTACAGAAACAAATGACTATACAATGTTATCACTGTGGGAGAAACCCAGCAGAGAGCAGCCTGTTCAGTCAGTCTTACCCAGAGCGATGCGCTTGCTTCGGACTGTTTGGTACTCTTTTTTCATCGCCTCCATGTTCAGCTTGACCCAGCATGACGTACTGTCACCTTCAATCACACAACAACATGTGATAGAGATAAAATGTCAACCAGTCAGCTTTAAACTGAATTATCAGAAAATGGCAGAGGAGTGTGTTCATGGTGACTCTCTTACAGTTCAGTTTCCTGGAGAGAGAGTCTTCCTCAAATGTGGTGCAGCTCAGTGTGTCTTCTACATCTTCCAACAGCTGAAGATGATTGGATAAATACATTAAATAGATAAATTAAGAAACTACAGTTCAGGGCCACAAAACACCTTTTAATGTAAAAGCTACTCTATGAAAATGGGCATTTTTAGCCATGCTAGCAGCATGGCTCTTAGCATGGCAGTGTTAGTCTGTCTGTCTACCACTTTGGTCCAGACTGAAATATCTTAGAAAATATTAGATAAATTAAGTTAAAATGTTGCACCCAGTGGGTGAATCCTACTAATTTTGATGATCCCATGAGGTTGAAATGGTGGTTTTGCATGAAATGTCTTGACAACAACTGGATTGATTGCAATCCAGTGATTCACATTAATTCCCCCCTAAGGATGAATTTGGGATCCCTTAACCTGACCATCATTATGCTCAAAAATGTTAATTGTCTAATATTTTGGTTTGCACTGGTGGAGAATAGTGTGCATCAACAGCACACTTAAACAACAGCTATACTTAGTATGGATACTGTCTGCTTTGAGTACTTCATCTGGTTACTTTTCTAGTATGAACACAATTTGTATTAAAAACCTGCTTAGAAAACTTAAAACCACTATATGTAGTGTGGATTTTGGATTTTTGAAGATGTCTTATCTTTTATTACAGACTAAAAGCTGCTAGCATAGATGCAAACATTTAGTCTTCTTTTTTCAATTCTAGACATTAGGTCGGTCACTCACCCGTGGTTTGACCAGTAGGCTGCCAGTTACACTAAACATTCGGGACAAGCCAAAGGGAGTACACACTGAGGAGAAAAACACAGATGGTGATATCAAAAGTGCCATACGCTACAGTTTCCAACTACTAAAGTAATTATGATTAACATATACTTACATAGAAGCAGCAACACTCCAAACAGAGAGATGCCTGAGTACAGGTAGGGAAGATAATACTCCCACAGGTCTGAAATTCAGAGGAGGAGAGTATAAGCAACTATAGCAAATAAACCCCATTGTCAAAGAGGCATCTTCAGGTATGATACAGGTGACTCACCATAAAGGCTTTTCCTGGCTATGTTGTCATGGAGGAGGGCTGATGCCACCCACACAATGCCCAGCACAAGCAGAGCCAGCAGCAACAGCAGCACAACAGCTTCATACACTCGTGCCATCACCCCCTACACACACAAAACAGATATTCTGTTATCAACAGGTTTAAATACACACGTCAATTTGCAGTTAAGTGCTTCTTAATTGGTTTATGGGTCTAGACCTGCCATTTGTAAAGGAATGCCAAAACGCGTGTACCTTTTTGGACCCTGCAAACCCCTCAGACTCCGTGAAGAAGTAGGCAAAGGGCATGAGGAACACCAGGGACAAATTGGAGAAAAGGAAAACTAGGTTCCACAAGCCTGACAAGAGAGGAAGAGAGATTTTCCAAATATAATTTTTTGGTGCAAAACACACTTTGGGTTAAAACTGTAGTGAAGCAAATGAAACAAATGAAAACTACCAACTGGCATAGTTCTGCCAAACAGTATAGCATGACAGTTGCATGTGCAAATTAACATAATGTTTTATAATTATAAAGGAATGAAATGGTGTGAGAGATTATGCTTTAGATTACCATCAGAACATTTCTCATATAAAACAACACTGCATGCCTGGTTTACTTTTGGGCTTCATAAGAAGTGTATAAGTACTTGGTTATAAATAAAAAAAACATCGTCATTAGTTGGAGTGCTCGACTGAACCAGTTGGACCATTTTTTCCAAACACAGACTAAGCACAGAGTAAGGTCACAGCCCCTCCATCCATAATAATTATCTGCTCCTGTTTGTACACAGGCCTGTGTAGTATTGATTTGGAGGTTGTTACCAGTGATCCTGAGTAATGACCTCTGCAATTATCAACTGTTGTTTTGGTGTTGTTAAGTGGTAAAGACAATAGGAAGTACCGTGAATAAGAGATCCATTGAGCCACTGCATGTAGTAGCTCTGTGGGAAGGTGAGCAACACCTCATTGGACAAAATGGAGATGGGGAGAAGGAGTACAGCACACACCGCAACAGACAGGGTGAATGTACACAACCACAGCCTGGAGAAGAAAAAGGACAGGCCATCAGTGAAGTCACATGTCTTTAGCCACATCACCACCACAGTGACAAACTAGATCCAGGTTCCCTGGGATAAGGTAATACAGTGACAGCGTGTGGGGACAAAGGGCAGAGTGACACTGAAGTGCCCCAGTCCCAACCAACATCCACATAAACACACAGGCACACACAAGACAGGGCAATAAATTTACAGCCTCAGGCCTCTACATGTCACGTTGACTAAGGTATGTGCCCAGTCATTCACACTGACACTAATCAAAGTGAGTGAGAACAGATTGCTGTGGGTCAGTTAATCATTAGAGGTTTTCACTTACGCAATTTTGTTAACTGTGGCATCTTCAATATCATCTGTAAGAGAGCAGTGAAACAAGTAGGATTACATCTATTACAAAACTGATTTCAACTTGTTAATTAAAAACATCAATTGATTTTACATCTATGTTTAAACAAGGTTAAGTTACCACACACATAACCAACTTATTTTCAATAACTTTTGTAGCTGAGGAGGGCTTAGACACAGATCATTCTGGTGCCCCTGATGGGGCGTGTACCACGTGGACGTGGCCGATCTCTCTCCCTGACATTCCTGTCACTGTACTATCAAAAATAAAAGGCAAAAATGCCCAAAAATATAACAAAAAAAACCCCACAGAGTGTCAAAATGTTAACAGACAGCTTCTAGCCTGTGATGTCATTAAATAGGTAAAACCTATCAGGGGTTGTGTCTGTGTATTGTATATACACAGTACACGGGTTATATAGGGGAAAGCTGTAATAGACGAAGTCCATATGAGGATGAAAAAAAGCAAGTCTCACTGGCCTCAGAGTAGTGGGTGAGGGGCAAGAGCATGTGAGGAACATTCTGTCCAAGCAAAACCCAGAGTCTCTAGTTAAAACTGTATTACATACACTGAAGAACTGCAATAAGTGGAGTATAAAGAGGCTCATTTGTAAATGTTACTGTATGCTCAAAACACTCTGAAAAACCCCAAAACATATCAGTTAGGTATGTTTGCAACTGTACTGTAAGAATTGCTGTAATTAGTTAAATTACGCACACAACACTACATGATACTATAACGCCTTCCAAGCAAATGTTGGCACAGCGGTTTAATGAAGTAAAGCCGGAGGAGTAGAAACCAGTTCTTGACTCCTGAATGTCAAAAACAACTCTGTAAAGTAGTATTGCACAATTGTCGTTTAGCTGCAAGGCACAACTGTTATGCTGCTGTTGATGCATTGACAATATTTACAACAATGGACTAATGCATAGCAGGTTTCCAAAAAAAATAAATAAATAAAAAAATAAAAAAATAAAAAAAGGGAACAAGAAAAAATGAGCTGGCCTTTTCCCAGGTTCCAACCCAGCCCAGCCACAGCAAAACAGAGACCTGGCTAGTTGGACATCCTACATCTGCTTCCAATAGTGGCAAGTTATTGGATTTATTATGTAACTGTCAGCCCAGTCGCTATAGAACATTTTTTTATTTTTAATAACAGAGATTCAATTGCATGAAGTGTGATGCGTCTATGCAAATGGTTGTTTGTAAGCTACAATGTTGAACGTATACAATGCAGTAACTCAGAGTAAAATTTAGCAGATCCTTAAGCTAGTTTCATAATGTTGTTTGCATAGTATATGTTTGCTGAAAACTGCTCTTTTACGACACTGTTTATCTTGTAGCAACATTCTCCACCGCCCCTCAACCATACAGATCCACAGGGACACCGCCTGAAGAGGTGGTTACATGTTACATAACATGCCGTCTTCACCTCTGGACTGCTCCAGCCAAAGTCCAGAGCCTTGGGTTAAAGTGTGCAATCCTGGTAGTGTGTAAATTTAAGCTATAAATTTACACGTATCCAAACATGGAAAACAGCTAATATTCAAATCTGCACATACATTTCTAGAAACAATTAGGAAAACTGTCGTTTTCTTACCTTTTTTATAAACCTAAATGCATTTTTGGATTTTGAATTTTTTCTTTAATTTTCTGTTTTATTGCTTGTCTGAGCATTATCAATCTTAATAATGGATCTTAAAGTAAGGCTAGAAAAAGAGATCCTGTTGCCTCCAATAATTAATAACACACTAATTACTCATAACACAATGTGTAGTTTCTGAACACCTGTGCTTGCTTGAAAGTATGGCCTACATACTACAAATTCCAAAACACCAATGTAATCAGTATGCTTGTCAACACCATCAATTCCCCTCCTGGCAATTCTCTTTGCCTTTGATGGAAATATTTCTCACAGAGCAGTTTTTATGTGGCGTGCTTATTAAAATCAGAGTGACTTTAAAACTCACCTGTGACATACTCTGCAGTCTTCTTGAAGTGGGTAAGTATGAGGTAGGAGACGATGTAAAGGCATGTAAACAGGAGAACACAGATCTGCAGAAGAGACAAAAGAATTTGATGCCATTTTCACAGGAAAATTACTCATTTTTTGTTCTTGTTTTCAAGCAAGCAATCACATAAAAAAGTGCAGCCCTGTAAATAAACTGTCGTGTTCATTCCAATAATACTGACAAGCTCATACAGGTTGACTCATATTTTTGTATATTTTGATAAGTCTTAGAAGTGGGGGTGGGTAGGTGGGAAATGTACCAAAGACAGAAAGATATAGGGAGAGCAGAACAAATGGCAAATATAGGGTGACGGCTACAACAGATTTGTTCCTCACAGAAAATTGTGATTGTGTTTTGTGCAGAAAAACAGCAACAAGTGAACAAAACAGGCTATGTATTGCAACAAATGCAAACAGCCAAAAACATTCCCCATTTAGCCAATGCAAAGTGAGACAGATGTAGTCTAAAGATTACCACTATATTCCAAAAAAGAGAGCAAAATGGGTGACAGTGATGAACTAAGAAGGATTAAGGGGAGTAAAGGAAGGGTTAATACCACTGACAGATAGCCCCCATACTGCCTGATCACTGTCTGACATTACACTAAATCTACCAACAAATTTAGGTTAAACCTATATTCACTGAGCAATCTGTTGTCTGGCACAACTCTCAGCATTTCATCGCAAAGACTGAGGCAAATCACTTGTATGATCATGAAAAAAATGAAAGAATAGTCACTTCAATTAACTGTAAATAAAAAGAACCACTTTTTAGCTAAAATGTATCTCCACAACTTTCTGATTAACTTCATGCAGCAGATTGGACGGTCTAAAAACACCCAGCCATTGCTCAGACACACACTCAAATGTATATTTAATAACTACGTCTCAACTGTCTGGAGAAAAAAAAAAAAAGATCTTGTGACAGCAAACAAATTGAATTTTCAGAGATGAGGTTGACAGACACATCCCTAACACATTTCTGCAGAAGGCAAAACTTGAATTTCCAGCAGGAGAATATAACCAAAACTTAAGAGTGAGAGAGGTTGTATGCAAATCTAAAGTAGTAGTACTAGGAAGGTTACTAGCAATAGGAAGGTTCCTGGGCAAAGTGGGGTAGCAGGATGTAGACAACAATAAACTAAGAGAGAGAGGCTCTAGAGAACAGCAGATATGTTACAACATGCATGCATACAGGTGTAAAACAAGTTTCTTATAAGGATGCAGGGTAAAGGGCTGCATCAAAGACATTCATGGTGACACAGTATACATTTACATCAGTGTTTCTATTGCTCTAAATTCATAATGAAGAGTATTTTGCAATGGATCACTGAGACATATGGAACAGTATCAAATAGGGTTGGGGTATGGGCACGCACCCTCCTGCTGTGGTTCCAGGACGGTGCAAGATGTTGACCTACTATTGCACTGAGTCAAAACCTTATAAAAGAAAACACCAACAATAACCAAGTGGTTGTTTCATTTGTGTATATTTGTGTTAACAAATGCCACAAAACAAGTTCAACTGCTGATATACACTGAGGTAGTAGTTCATTACCTACACCTAACTAAAACTAATGGGCAGCGATCAGACAGAACGTACCACACCATTTTTTGTTGAAGCCTTCAATTTTAAAAAAAGAGCAATGCGTTGCATTTTATTTATTTATCTTTATTTATCTATTTAGCAAACACTGAATCACCTGTCTTTAGCCTAACCGTGATTTTGCTGTGAAGTAAACTCACAGATCTGTACATGTTATTTAAATATACAGGCTACAGGCGGAGGGTGAGAAGTTGATCCCAAATAATACCCTGGTCACAGAAACAGAGATCAATGTGCGTACATGAGGCCCACAGAAAGAAGAGAAATCACAGGGAGTACCACCAGCTGGTCCAGGAGCTTTGCTTGGATGACGGTCTGTTTAAGGCTTATTTTAAGATGAGTGGGGGAAAATTTGACAATCTGCTGTTAACCACCTCAGTTTGTTTAGATATGTCTTGCAGCTTGTCTTGGGAGATGTTGCAACAAGTCCTACATAGTTTTTTGGAGAGGTCAATTTTAAGGTCATATGATGCAGAGAGGAGTTTCTATTATTTAACCTAACCTCATTGATATGAATGGGGTGCACAAAATAATAGAAATATACCAAACGGTGAAGCACAGTAGAATTCAATGGCACCACAAACTATAATCTCCAAAATGACCATACATTTGAATCAACACCTCTCTAAAACAAACCTTCCAACAAAAACTGAAAATGATTATTATCTTTATGAAGGTGAGATTAATTGTAGGGCCACTGTGTTGGACTGAATTAGCTTTAGCTAAGTGCACATTTTAATCTGTACACTGAGTGTAAGAAACTTTGTGTTTCTGTTTTATACATCTGCTTAAATTTCACCTGTTGAGAAATCCACAGCGTAAACTGTGTAATGGTCATTGGTAGCAAACAAGCTGCATCATGCAAACAATGGACTGTGCGTAACATCTAATCAGCTCAGTGTGCAAAATTGTTCAATAATGCTGCATACTTTGGCAAGGAGCTTGCTATAGTTAATCCAACAAAAGGAAAAGCAGGGAACAAAGGATGGGTATTGGGTGAGAAATAGGTGGAGGGGCAGAATAACAGCCTGTTAGTCCACCACATTTGTGGGGACACGTGCTGATTGGCAATGTCAAGAGTTGGCACCACACAGAAGGCCACTGGGAAGAGTTTAAAGGACTTCAGCATCCAGAGGGACATCTTTGTGTTGAACACAAAGTCCCAGGGCTCCAAGTTCACTCTGAGCATTTTAAAATTCACAGAGTAACCTAAACATCTTTGTGCTGCTTCAAGCAAATAAACAATGATGCTCAAATGTTTTCACATCTTGCCTAACCTTGTAGTTCCTGTAAAAATTCAAAGGAGCACAGAGGAGGTTGGCAGTGGCACACATGTCCTTGGGAAATGTCAAATGGACTCCCTCAGAGTGTACTATTTCAGGGGCACCTCTTGACCAGCGAAACACGTTCAGGGAAAGCACAACAGCCTTTGTCTTTAAGAGGATAGATTGGGTAAGACCTATTCAAGATTTATTCAACAGCCAGAAATAACTTTGGCAATGCCATCCTAATCCAAAAGAAGGTGGGCAGCTACAGTATGTTGTTTTCATCATCATTATCTATGTGTCATCCAATATTCGAAAGCTTAGTAATGTAAAATTTCAGAGCAGCAACAACTCATATTCCAGTTAGGTAATTAAGTCTTTGAGAATAGAAAATGTATGACAATAGTGACAATGTGCTTTGAAAAATCCTACAGAATATAATTCCTAAGAAACACATATGTGTAGTCGATCTTTTATAAACAACATGGCACTCTTTTTAGGGTGGCTCTATAGCTTAATATGTGCAAATGCCGGGTGTCCCATTTCTCCACAGAAAGATGTTATTGTGACCTTTTATTCTGCTAAACATTGATCCTTCTTGATCCCTCTGGGCTCAGGGTGTGGCCTGTGGGTTTGTACTCCTTGCTCTACCGTTTACACCATCTCACATAGACTTTTTTTTTTTTTTTTTTTTTTTTTAAATCTACACTCGTTACATTTGCCTCTTATCTAAGATGATATACAGTGCTACATCAGCTCAAGAAAAGACAGACCTGGGTATTTTGCCATTCAGCCATTTAAAGAACACATGGTGGGCACCACTTGGCCAATGTACGAATTTTTGAGCTACACTTTTCCTTGGTATTTTTTTTTTTTCCAAACAAAGAAACAATACCAAAATCAATTTTATATTTTTATGATTTGGAAATAATGACTGACTTGCAGGAACCTGCAACAAAGTGGTGCTACTGCAAGGATTTTGGGTAAAACTTGTATGAAGTTAATACATCACATAAATACAGCCTTTTTTCTGCCAGTCAAGCATAAAATCTGCCTATTCTTCTGTGCTTCAACAACACACATAATGAGTACCATTATTATGTAAAATAGTCCTTTTGTCCTCTGGCGTCAAGGCCTGCCCTTTGCAATGTATGTCCCTCAGATTATATGAATGCAATAAATTAATATCTGAAGGGTTTAAAAAAGACCTTAAGCCAGATCAGTTTCTAGATGCTCAGCCAAAATAAAAAAAATCTTTTAGCTTACACAGTGCATTCAGAAAGTGTTCAGACCCCTTCAATTTTTTCACATTTGATTATGTTGCAGCTTTATGCTAACATAAAAAATTCCCTCATCAATCTACACTCAATACCCCATGGAGGAAATCAGACATTAAGCTTAGAATTGGTTGTCCTTCGGGAAGTTTATCCCATCTTCGCACCAATGCCTTTCCTGATTACCTAAAGCTGATCGCCTGGCCTAACTGAGTAGATTCCTTCTTGTTCCAAACTTCTTCCATTTAAGAATTATGGGGGCCACTGTGCTCTTGGGAACTTTCAATGCAGCAGAAATATTTTTTTGTGGCCTTCACCAGATCCATGTCTTCACACAATCCTGTCTTAGTTCTGCAGGCACTTCCTTTGACATCTGTGAGACCTTATATGGACAGGTTTGTGCCTTTTAAATCATGTCCAATCAGCTGAATTTACCACAGGTGGACTCCAATCAAGGTGTAGAAACATCTCAAAGATGATAAAGAGAAATGGGGAGCATCTGAGCTAAATTTCAAGAATCTGAATACTTATGCCAATGTGATATTTCAGTTTTTCCTTTTTAATAAAGTTCTAAAATTCTGTTTTCACTTTGTCATGATGGGATACTCAGTGTAGATCAATGCCGGATTTTTCTGTTAGCATAGGAAAATGTGAAAAAATTGAAGGGGTTTAAATAAAATGCTATTTATTATACAAGTGTAACAGTAAGGTTTTAATGCACCTGATTTACAGACATGTTTTAGGTGTATCTAGGAACCTGTCCATGACCATATAAGATGTTCAATTTTAGCCTCTTGTCTATTATCACCATCTGTACAAACATGAATGTTGCTGTGTATCAGTCTAGAATAACCATCCATCTGGTGTTGCAATGTGTTGAGCCCTTATCAGTTGAATGCTCTGGTACATGAAATAATACAAGTGGTACTTACACTGCTGCCAAATATTGATCATTTTAAGATCAATGATAAGTTTTGCCTGACGCCATTAATAACCAGAGATGCAGGGGTAGCTGACCAGCCTGAGGCAGCACTGTGAAGAATGAGTAAGCTGGAGACCTGACGCCAGCCAGTGGCTTAAGAAGGGGCTGTCGACTAATAGCATTAGGTCTTTAGGTGAAAGGGACAATGACAAACAAGGGCATTGGAATAAATATGGGAACTTCATTTGTTGATCATGTAAAGTAAATTCTATGAGTAACTAGTCCCTTTTAAAAATGTACTTGCAACGAAAAGCTTTGTTTCATGTGACTTCCTGAAGACTGCAAAAACAGACTGTGGTATTATCCAGAAGATGTTATGGTTCCACCCATTATACCTAATGTGGGTAGACTGAAATATCTCCAATCTCTGGAGATGAACTGCCTATGAGATCTGATTGTACTTTTAAAGGTTAAAGGTCAGTATCCATGTGCCCTGCTGTAACTCAACTGATCTCTCTGGCAAGTCTGAAGTTCAACAGGGACTGCTGCTGTTACACAAAACAGAGCCAAGCCTGAGAAAGTGGGAACAGTATCAAATGTAAAATGCATTATTAACTGTATAGCTGAACAGAAAATGTCAAGCAGTGTTCCAGCCCGTGGCAGACAGTTAAAGGAAGATTTGGAAGAGACCTTAAGTCGTTACCAACAAAATAGAAGAGCTCCAGATGCTGAGTAGGATGTCCCTGTGCCACACCATTGTCTAATGACCAGCTGCATCGGTGCAATAATTAACGTCTGTACACAAGTTCCGTTAACTGCCACAACAAGCGAAATTCAAACATTAACGTAACGACAAAGTCACGTTAAATGTAATGTTACAGATACTGTTGTTTAGTGCTGAAATGTGAGACATTTACAACTCATATATGACAATTGTGAAATCAGTAAGTCATGCGAAAAAAAACACTTAACGAGTTAAACAACGTGGCTTTCTTGTAATGATTAGGTGGCTGATGTTGTTCTGTTTGTGGCGACCCTCATATGCATATCAACCGACGGTCCCATTAGCCCAGCGTTACTTACTATGGTCTCCCGGACACGGTTGTGGAAAAGTTGCTCTCTAACCGACACGTCGTCTGTTTCCATTCTCCGAAACCATTACAGTATCCTCTCAGGCTTAAAGCGCTGCGGGGAAAGATAGTTTAAAATGTCAAAAGACGGGGCATCTTCTCAGAAATGCAGTGGATTTGCGGCTGCTTAGCCACGCTGCATTCAAACGGCTGAGTTAGCCTGCTGCTACACTCAGCTCTGATAAAAACCAAACAAGGAGGGGTCGTCAAGGGGCGGGGCTAGAGAGAGGGGAGGGCGAGCCACAGGTAGCTGTCAATCATCATCGTAATTATTAGCTCAGCGTCATCAGATTTATGTTATTTATGTCCAACATACTGAACATACCAGTGAAGCCATTTATACATTAAATGTTCGTGCACGTGTACCTCACAGCCTTTTTGCGCTATACCTACCAGTTTACATTGGTATGAATAAGTTTGGGAACCCCTGGGCAAATTACATATGTAGTTGATTTGTTTTTAAAGTAAGTGCACCTTTTGGCAATGTCACAGCTTGCAAATGCTTTTTGTAAGCAGCTATGTTTTTCTCTGCATGATTTAGGAGTTTTCACCCACTCTTCCTTGCAGATCACTTCAATCCTTGAGATATTTTTACATCTGTTCTGCATACATAGCATGTTTAAGATCTTTACACAGATTTTCAATGAAGTTCAAGTCAGGGGACTGTGGGGGCATTTCAAAAGCTTCAGCTTGTGTTTGTGTCTTTAGTCTGTGTAATGACTACTTTTAATTTATTACTCCAACTACAATTTCCTGATAATACTACATAATATTTTTGAGCAGAAATGAAAAAACAAAGAGTTCACACAAAGAAATATTATTAGACTGGGTCATTGCTGACACTTGTCACTTTTGTCATATATGGGAATTTTATATTAGACTTTAGTGAAGAGGTCAAGCTTCTTAATTTATTTATAGCACTGTGTGCAATGCATTCGTCCTTAGAAGGTTTACATAATAAATGATGGCACTCTTCTAAGCATTTACAGTGTCTTTTATTTTTTATGTACATTATCTTTAGACCTTTTCCTCACCTTATCAGTTAAGACAATCAAGGGGCCTAAATGTTGAGGCACATCATGTGTTAAAGCCACAGCCTAATTTCAGTGTCATGATCCAAAGTCCAACTGTTGCAACAACATGCAGCACCTTCAACTACGGAAAGGACTGGAAAGGATTTATCGGGATAAGGATTTGAAATTATGGGCTCAGTAAGTAATCTAGTCATTATTAGACAAAACCAAACATGTCTTTAATGTATAAAGAAGTGAATGATTGAAATGTCAGTCTGACGTAGCTTTTTTTTAAAACAAGGATTGGCCTACAGAAAATGGTTGGGGCCTAGCATCTAAATGTCTGATTTTGAAGGCTATAACATGTGATACAGTGATTAACCACAACATTCAAACCAGCTATTTGTTTTAATGTTGTGGCTGATCTGTGTATGTGTTCTGTCAAAAAAAAACATGTAATAATATCAACATTTACAACCTATCATGTTTTGGCTCAGGTAACGATTCGAGTTAACATGACAATACCCATCATGAGCTAAGATAAATCCCTCTTATATAATACATTATTTAACCAGGGAAGTGGATCGCAGAGATTAAAAATCTCCCCTCAGCGTCCCGGCCAAGATACCAGCAGCGCACAGATTATAGAGGAAACATAACACAGCCTTGTACTAAATCAGAGAGATATTCAGAAAATGATGTGAGCACATGAGATGAAAGGATTAAAAAAAGCACAACATAAAATCTATAAAATAGCAGTCAATGTCATAATATAATAGCAAATAGCAAAAATATATTATACTATACTAGGTTTCCATTCTTTGAAAATGAAAACATGCAATGGATGAATAAAATAATAAAACATAAAACACTGATTAGAAACAATATATCCTATAATTCCAACCAAATAGAATAATCTAGAAACCCAATGGCTCACATCTGAATAATAATTGTAAACTCTTGAATATAAGACTTAAGTTCTCGTTTTACTCCATTGCAGGTACTGATCAAGGATGACTAATACTTACCTGAACAGAGACTGAGCTACTGTGGCAATAGGATGGTAAAAAGTGTAATGGTAGCCTATGCCCTGTGGGCAATAGGTGGACCCTGGGGCCTTCACCACTTATACTTAGGAAGAGACAGCCATGCTCTCCTATGGATGCTGACCCTGGGAGGGTTTGGGTTTGGCTGGGTCAGAGAGGTCATACGTATCCCTGCTTATGTTGGTGAGGCCAATCGAGATGCAGAGAATGAGAGAAAAAGACCCCCCACCATGGTCCCTCCACCTGTGAGCCCCCTCAGATTTGCTGGTCAGGTATGTGTTGGGATCTACTTTGGCACCGTGGCTCTGATAGGACTGAACTCCCTCAGTTTCTTCTACTTGATTGTTCTGCCTTTATGTGTGGGTGCAGGGGTACATCTGGTGTCCAGTGTTGGTCAACAGACCTCTGACCTCCAAAAAACCTTGACTTCTTGTCTCATGACATCCCCAATATTCTATGGCAGCACTTTGTCACTTCTCCCTATTAGCCTGGCTGCCAGTGTCACTGCTGCACAGCACCGCAGGTTCAAACCGCCACGGACACCTCAGAGCAAACAGGAACTAGGTGACGATCTCATCAATATGACAATACTGTCTGATTTCCTTTCACACATTTATAACATTTCTTCTCTCTGAACTCTGAAGTCCACTATAATAATTTCTTTTTCTGTCTTTTGCCCAGTTCCACGGCTTTACAGGCTCGGTCTAGCTTGGCTGGCCTTCTCTGCTCCACTGGGTTACTGTATTTTCCATAACACCACAGCCACACTGTACTACCTGTCTGACTGTCTAGCAGCACTGCTGGATATTTTCTGGTTCCTACCTTGGCTCAGAAGTGTGTTCGAGTACATTCTTTTAATGCCATATCGGATCTTGTGTGTTCTTACTGGAGGGGGGTACTATGAAGAGACTTGGAGGAAGGTGCTGGAAATACTTCTCAAAGAGTACACTGAGAGAGAAAAACAGGCACTGCAGGTAAGCATTCACATATCTCTGAAAATGTAAGTGCTGAGTTAAGATAGTTACAGCTTGATATGTATACTTTATATCAGTTAGAGAGTAAACTTATTGCTGAGGTATAATCATAATTTATAACCTGTGCATTAACTTATGTTGCAGGTATTGTCATTAGAAACAGAGGCTTCTCTTGAAGAGATAACTCGAAGCTATAGGGAGCTGGCCAAGACATGGCATCCAGACCACAACCCGAGAAAGGATGCTGAGGCAATGTTTGTAAAGATCCAAGAGGCTTATGAGGTCCTACTACAACGGCACAGACCCCATCGATTCAAATAGTTGCCCTTTATTCCATGCTGACAGGCCTGACTCTTGCATTGTTTTTGAGTCATCGTTTTCTATTGTTCATGGAACATAAACCAACTTGAGACTTGCAGAGTGATGACATTACCACTTTTTTAAAACATGCTTCCACTTGTCAAACAGCATTTTAACAGCCGTCTGATTGGTTACTTGGCAGTTTGCTGCCACCTTGTGGTAATACAGGTGTAATATCACCATAAACTATTGATTACAACAATTACACTTGTGTTTTGATGTTTGCTTGCTTGCTATTAAAAGCTGAGCTGCCGCTGCCATACAAACACGGCTATATCCTTACATTTCACAGCATGAATACTAAAATGAATTGGTAAACGGTGTAATAATTATGTAATAAAGGCGTAATGACGGATGCCAAAGAGAAAGAGAAATTGTAAAAATTACCCGCCCTCTCCATTCCCGAATACCATTTCCGGAAGAGGACTTTATCACAAAAAGTGGCAGAATTTTCTGAGAATATTTTTACTAGATCTAGCAGTTTCCTGACCAGCTTGTGTGCGAGTATTTCTCCAAACAGATATTCATAGCCACGCGGCAGTCTAGAGTCTTCTGTTGCGCCTTTTATTCTAATGGCATCAATTTCACCACATTTTTGACACCTGCACCCAGAGCTGACATGCATCGATGCATTCGACAATCACTGAATCAAGAGCTCCGTTGTACAATTATTCGGTCTGTATCCCAGCATGGGCCCGGAAGTTGTTTGGGATTCCCAGGTAAAGAAAAAAATCCCGGAGATGCTGTCGTCGCCTGGGAAAACAAACAGCTATCCAGACAATTAAAAAGGAAAACACCGATCGGTCGCCAGGTAAGGAAGAGGCTTGTGGACTTCACCGCGGCACTCGGTAAGATCATCCATTGGTTTTAATTTGGAAGTACGGCATGTTTTTGAGTAGTTGGTAGGGTGAATGCCATTTGTCGTGTGGTCGGGTGCCATAGCAACGGCTCATGGAGAAACATTGTATAGCCCAGGCCAGTTTGACGTGCCCGATGTTGGATGACAGCTGCGTTCATGCGGACAATTTGGACAGTGGCAACTCCTGCAACAAATTGCCGTTGTGTCTCGCCGCTGTCTCGCCCGTTCATGATCTGATATTGCTGTCAAAACGGACCAAATCCACCGAGCTGCTAAAACAAGTAGCCACGGATATATGGAGAAGCATGATAGTTATTTGAAAATGCATATGTTTCACTGCAGAGACGCCCATGTCGGGCAGAGAGGATTGTCAGGCAAGGGTCGGCGCTGGTGCGCGTCCCTTTTTTAATCGCCATGCCCTGGTGAGACTGGCGCGTCTCCCGGCTGCACCAGTGCCTGTTGCTCCCCATGCGCGGCCAATGCGAGGATATTAATTTTCCCTGCGATGTGTTGTCTCCGCCCCCTCTGCTCGCTCCACATTCGCCTCTGTCCACTGTTGTCATCCATTTCAGCAAAAGGTGTAGCAGTGTACATCTGGGTCTTCTCACTCTTTCTTTCCTCAACATCATGTTCAACAGGAAGTTAAATAAAGCATCACCTGCGCTGATCACATGAAATCAACATATTATACGTCTGAAGACGTTGTAACTCGGCACATCCAGTGTAGTCTACACCTCACTTTGTTGTCGACTGTGGAATAATAATGTTCTGTGTATCCTACAGTAAATGTTACCTATTGCACGGACACACGGGGATGGACAAAATAAAAGGAATAATCAACAATTTAATAAACTACAGCACTTTAATATAAACTATAATCTTAATCTCAATAAAATAAAATAAAATGCTACGTTTTTACGAAGCTAATAATGTATATTGATATATGTATGCATATTAATAATATAAATTATCTGAAAACTGCACAATTGATTATTCAAATAAACATATGCACCTTGGTTAGGGTAATGCAATATATAAAGCTTTCTATCTTGGATTTTTTAAAACCTGTATATAGTATAATATTGTATTTACTTCATGTCATGTTTATGTCATGTCATTTTATTGTTTTAGTATATACTGAATTTTGTTGAGATTACATCAAAGCTTCAAACCAAAGGTGGAGTTTGTGGTGGTGTTGCACCCAATTGCTTTTTAGTGTAAAGTGTTCCAGCTATTTTGTCCACCCCCTGTTTTAGCTCCTCCTTCAGCACTTTTGGCCATGGGCTCTCTATAAATGTGGGGCCTCTCACATTCATTTGTTGGCCACAGTGCAGAAGAGTCTACATGATACAGAAATAACAGGGCAGAACCTAAATTAACTCGATTAGTTTATTACAGTGAACTTATTCTTAGACACTTTGAGCCGAAAGCATATAGCTGTCAGTTTCCAAGTCAACAAACAGCTGCTAAGTATATTCTATATGGTGAGTATCGATGGTGTTACAGGCCATTTTCATATAACTAAGATTTGGAAAATGGAAAGCGTTGTTTTAAGAGATGATTATCAATGGGAAAAATAATATTTGCCATCTGTTTTTAAATCATATTTCCGTAGGAATCTGGTGAAAGAATGAATGCTGATGACTGCAATGGGCGCTCATACGCACAAGGTAATTTTATATATGAAGGAAAAACGACTATACATTTGTGTATACGGTCTCCAGACTTTAACGTTTACTTTAATAACATGGGCATATTTGTGTTTCAGGTAATGGAGGAGAGTCATCAACGGAGCAGGATTTTTATGGCACGCTGCAGGGCCCTACAGCAAGATCTCCAAACAGTCAGCAGTCCTCACCACACCGCTCCCTTAGTGGTCAGTTATCATTCCTTTGTTTCATTGTGACCACATGGTCTGTGTAGAATTCTTCATTAAAACTATGTACGAAAGTAAATGTGTTTTTCCCTCATCCAGCAAACTCCATCAAGGTTGAGCTGTGCAGTGATGATGAGTCACCAGGTGCTCCACAGCCAGAGAACAGAGAGGCTGTGAGGGACGATAGCAGGAGGGATGACAGAGGGGAACCCATGGAAGAAGGGAACGCAGAGTTCGCTGGAGCTGGAAGAGATAGAGGGAGCATTTACAGTGAGATGGCCAGTCCAAACTCTGCTTCACCAGGACCTATCCGCCTCCCTAATGGGAAGCTCCAGTGTGAGGTTTGTGGAATGATCTGCATTGGGCCCAACGTGCTGATGGTGCACAAGCGTAGCCACACAGGTGAGAGCAAGCTGAGGTGCTTATGCCAAGCATTATTACTAAATAAATAAATAAATGAAATACTTTAGATGAGTCACCTCTAAAATCCTCAGTCCATCCATGTGTTAACAGGTGAGCGGCCGTTCCAGTGTAACCAGTGTGGGGCTTCCTTCACCCAGAAGGGGAACTTGCTGCGTCACATCAAGTTGCATTCGGGAGAGAAACCTTTCAAATGTCCCACTTGCAACTACGCCTGTCGCCGGAGAGATGCCCTGGCTGGACATCTGCGCACACATACAGGTAATTCAGTAAGATTTATGTGCAATAACACAGAGCTAACACACAAAGACATATTCCATGAAGAGATTTTTCATCATGAAGAGATCTATACTTATTCAGTCATTGATCTTGGTGGATTCTGTTTTTCCGTAATAATGTTATTCCTTATTGTGATAAGGTATGATGTGTAGAACACAGGTAAGCAGTAGAAGCGGGGATTCATTAGAATGGTCCATTTCCCCGTTCTGTGAAACTCAAAGGAAATGGGTCCTCTTTACAAGAATTTACTGTAAAATGACATTTACCATTGTATGAAAACAGGAAATCCTGTTGGTGCTTTCAATTTGTGAACACACATTCAATAGGTGTTCGCATACAGTCTAGGTAGTCGGTCTTGGTGGATCTCCATGTGTGTTAGTGGTTCATTTTCGAAGAAAAGATTCTTGCAAACTGGATTACAGCGAAATGACGTCAGCCTTTCCGACGGCTTACTAAGATGGTACGTTGCGGTAAAGAGTTAGGCGTTTTTTCTGTCGTCACTGGCGAGCAACAGAGAATAATTTCGGGAATTGTAAATCAATGGGGAAATCCATTCTCTCAGACATAGCCAATAATACGTTTTTTTTTTGTTTTTATTTAAAAACAACAATAAACATATAAATAAACAAGAACACTATGACAGACAGTTTACACAGTATCTATTATCTAGGGTGAAAGTTTGGCCCTTTGTCTTAGTGGGAAGAAATCACTTCGGAAAAATCAATATTTTTTCTTTGAATTTCAGTCTCTTCTCCAACGGTGGGCAAACCTTTTAAGTGCAGCTACTGCAGTCGCAGCTACAAACAACAGAGCACACTGGAGGAACATCTAGAGCGCTGCCATAGTTATCTGAAGAGCCTGGACCACCAGACAGCAGTCAACACACAGACAGCACAGGGTAGGTAACACATCACACAAACATGAATGCACTAACCTTTACAGACAATAAGCCTTTAAGTTCCTATTCAAATATACAGAACAAAGCAAGTTTATTTATGCACATCATGAGTTACTTTTATATATTGATGACTAGGCGCTTTCTGTTTCCAGGTGAAGAGTCAGTAAATATGGAGATAATTACTAAACCCGAACTCCAGCCATCCAATGAAAAAATCCAGTTTGCGGATAGACTGGCTATTAGTATCACCAAACGCAAGAGGACAACACCACAGAAGTTTTTAGGTGAGTTTTTTTTTCCATAGCACAAATTTAAAAAGAGAGTTTACATACATACATATTCAATTGTTTTTATTCCGTTTCAATTATATTGTAATGATATATTTCAGCTCAATAAGGAATGTTAAAGCACATAAATAATAAGAACCTGGTCTGGCATCATAAGAACTTTGTCTGATATTATCAGCTGTCTTGCAGTGCAAGTCAGCCAAATGTCAAGATGCTTTTTCCAATTTGGAGAGACTGGGTTCATGTTGCAGCATGACACTGGGCCAGATGGAGCAGATGAAGTCAGTAAAGAAGATCTAGAAGATCTTAATCATTGTTCATCATTCATATGTCATTTTCATAGGTGAAAAGCACATGCACCTTGACCTACCTGAAGCACCTTATGAATTGTCTTCTGGCTCTGAGAAGGAGGGGGACCTCATGAGCTCTCAGCCTTCTGGGGACCCCACTGGGCTGGCTGGTTCACGGCTCCACGGTGCTAGGGGTAAAAATGAGAACCATGAATCGTCTACACTGTCTCAGCTTCATCCTGCCTTCCTATCAGTTATGAGCTCCATCAACAGCAACGTGACTCCTCAGGGCCCCCGAGCCCATGGGGGAGGTGGGCTGGCGGCGATGTCTCTTGGGCTGGCTGGGAGGGAGGCGGGCGAGGGCCGTGTTGACCAACCCTCAGCCCATAGCCATACCACCTCGCCCAATGGCTGTCCCGACTCTACAGACACAGAGAGCACAGCAGAGGAGCAGAGCACAAGGGCTACAGCCCCAACAAGTACCTCCAACAATCATCACCTCCACTACCAAACCCCAGCACTGCCCCGCAGCCATCCCACTTCCAGCCCCAGCCAGGCCAAAGACTTGGACCCAGAGTGGGAGAGAGCGTGTCCTGTGCCCCCCACCACAGTAAAGAGAAGCTCTAGCTCACCCATTTCTTCCAGGGAGACCGTGCAGGTATTAGACAGGGATGGCAGGTCTGTGCGCTCCTTCTACTGCCGGCACTGCCGCATCATATTCCTGGACCATGTCATGTTCACCATCCACATGGGCTGTCACGGCTTCCGCCAATCGTTCGAGTGCAACATCTGTGGCCACCTCAGCCAGGACCGCTACGAGTTCTCGTCTCACATCAGCCGTGGAGAGCACCAGGTGGGCTGAGGAGAGGGTCTCGTGGCTGGATGAGGATAGGAGGTGACTGCTGCTCTCTAAAGTTGTGGGCTCACGTTTGTTCTGCACCAGATCAGTTGCTTTAAATCCCTAGTGTAAGTAAAAAGATTTGTGGTTTTATTGTGAGAATATTTATGAACCTAAAGCACTCGCAAGTGAAGAATCTTTTCACCTCACCATTTAAAATTTAGTGGAGGCAAATTACATTCTATGATTGATTGCACTCCCATATTAAGTCATCTGGCGAAACTACTGGTTTTGCTTCAAAAGTGCCTTCTTGGGGGATTTCCTCTTAACTCAAAAAACTGGAGGGCAGGGGAAACGGGACGGGACTGGTGCTCAAAAATTTTGACTAGCCATCTTTTCCTAAGTGATATAGTTAGCACTTTTGAGAGGTCATGCACACAGGCATTTAAGAAAAGCATGGCATGTACATTTAAAGAATTATATTTGGTATGCTTAGTATGCACTAAGACCTTTGTTTATCTGGTTGAGGAGGGTATTCTGTGTAGGGTGTCAGGTAAGCTTCATATGCACTGAGAGCTTTGTGCCTCTGGGTTTGGGAGGAGCTTTTGTCACAAACGAAGCACAGAAATGGATTGCCTTAACTCCTACAGTAGTATGCCGCTGTAGGAATACATATTGTTTACAGCATGGTTAAACAGTGTGTGAAGTCACCTCAGAAGAGAGAATATTTACAGCTGCACAGTGAGCAGACTATCAGGACAAAGCAAAATCATGAAGGAAGTGAACTTAAAAAACATTCACCTGAGGGTGAAAGAGGCATTCAGGGCTCAGATGTAAAATAGGTTTTTGGATGTTAAAGTGAGCCTTAGAAAACTGGTGCAGATCAGACCATGAGCCATGTAGTGTACAGCAAGAGCCTGACTGAGATGGCCCAGGGTGCTATGCCTATACAGGATTGCACTTTTAGGTTCCCTGCTTATATATGAACATCTTTGCCGACGCACTTGACGGCTTTACAATTTCTTTTCCTGTGATTGTTCTACTGCACTGATAAATCGCATAATACTCACAATAACTGATCCTCTAATTTGCAACACCAGTGAATTTTTAACGGAGCCGGCCTTCTACAGATTCCCACAGCATTGCACTGGTTCTGTGGTCTACATTCAAGTTTGCTGCAATGTGTGACAAAGATTTTAATATCAGTTCAACTAAAATTGTTTTTTGTGGTTTTGCTCTCAGCAGGTGAGGCTGGGATTTTAAACAATTTCCATAATGTAAGTGAATTAACAAATGAATTATTTAAAAATTAATTAACAAATCAGTTTGGATCTGTTCAGTTATCACTTGTGATTATCTATTTAGTGTTGTTTGTTTCAGCCTTGGTGTATTTAATCAGCTATATTCCAAATCTTATCCAGCATATTCCTCAAGTCCATGAAATGTTACCTCCTGCTTCTTTATAGCACCCAAATACCTTATTGCTACAGTATGGTGAGTTATCTGATAATGTTAATATTGGGAACATGAATGAGACCAAACTCAGTATTCTTACTTGTTATCGTGGGTTTGCTGCTTCATAGTTTAACTTGATTTCCTTTAATTGCAGGCAAAAATGTACTTGAAACTGTTTGAGAAAAAAAAAGTAATCTAAAAATGCACTTGGTTTGATAAGTAGAGAAATGTGTGTGAATGGAATATAGCATGTGTGCTTGTCATTTTCTGCTTTTATCTGAATTGTGAGTTATTTTTGAAATGTGAAGTAATTTGAAGAAGTGAAAATGAGGCATGGGTTTTTGTCTCCTTGTGTGGACCTTTCAATGTTATACAATATTTTGTGAATGATGTAACATGACAAAACACTTTACCTCAAAGTTAAAGATGTACAACTGCCTCATTATTTCAAAAAGTCATGTTGCTTTCCAAGATGTTCTTGCAGTTACAAATGCGTGCCCCTCGATATTCTCAAAACTTTTTACTGTCAATAAAGTTACGTTTATTGTAAAAGTGATGGCATCCACATATTTCTGCTTTTTAGCCACTGAAAATACATTAGCAGTTTTATACTTTCTCCTCTGTAAAAATACCTGTAGCAATGTGGCTAGAGATGAGAAATAATTTATTTAACAAAGACAAAAATCCTAAAATTCTACATCATCAGGTTTCGCAGGTAACAACTCCCTACAGATATAGTTTAGACAATATGCCTTTAACTGTGCTTTATAAACTGCATTTAAAAGAACAATTTATAGGCTGAGTAGAAAATATTGGAACACCATTTTATCAGATTTTGAATTTGTACAGCTATGCCTATCCATCCATGTTAGATTTTAGGATGTAAAGAATTGGCATTCAGGATCTGTGTACCTGCTTGTAATCTGGGAAATTTAGTTTCTTATTTGTAGAAAGGTCTGTTTCGTATATTACATTACTACCTGCTTGACTAAAAACATCCATAATGATAAAAAAAGTGGAGCAAATATTCAACTGTTACTTAATGTGATTTAACAACATGCGCACAAATTCTGAAATTAAAGTATCTGCTTAATAATTTTAACATTTAGGCTCAACAATAACAATTGATGAGTTTGCCAAAGTAGGAAACCCCTTGATTCATAATGTACACACAATTTTTTATGATTACATACCATCCTAAATCCAAATAATTCTATTTCAACTAACAAAAAGCTGATTACAGCATAGGAAGATTAAATAAAGCATCGTATGTGAGGACCATTTACAGATGCAGCTTTAAGGTGCAGTAACTTCCTCTGGTGGAAATCCATCTCACAGCCAAGTAGCACAGAACATAGAGACTTGAACATCAAACATAAAAAAAATACATTAAACATACTATAAATATGAAGAAATACTAAAATCACCCTCCAAAGATCAGACAAGCTTGAGACTAGAGCCATCCATAAATGACCCTCTCATTCAGCACCATGTTCACATTTTAATTTTAATGCATAAGATAAGAAATGTTGATGACATATTTTCATACCCTATTCTCATTTTACATTTTTATAAAGGAAATTGCAATTTTTCAAATTAGTGTCACAGAAAACACATGATGTAATTTATAAATCTCAAATAAAAAAGAAAAAGGCTATATATACTGTATGTATAGAACATAATGAATCACTATCTTAAATGATATTTAACATTTCTGCACTGTAATGAATGTTAAGACTTTAGCGATATGGTGTGTATTCCTACTGAAAAACATGTGAAATGGGTGTGTGTTGACAATGAGTAGAGCTAATCTGACAGTTAGACTACTTCATTTTTATGTGACCTTTGGGTCTATGTGACAGACCTTTGTTTTGTCTGTTTGAGGTTAGTGTTGACCTTTTTTCTCTCTGCAGTGGAAATCTGTAGGAAATCTGCTACTCCTACATACACATTCCAGGTGCAATTCAAAAAGTACATAAATAAACTAATCCTACAGTGAATGACTACTGTTGGTTATCCACAAGCAGCAAAAAATCCCTGTCTTTATAAAGTCAAATATATCTACATAGAAAATTCTTTCTTGCACACAAAGCAGGCTGCAGACAAGTGTGAGCCTCAGTGCACCCATCACCACCCTGATGAAGGCAAGATAACCAAAAACATGTAATAGAGAAAGCATTGCATACTAAAGAGAAGTCATACGATGTGTTTTCATTTAGATAGACCGGGTATTACGTTTTGTAACCCTTGACTGCATGTGCAATTCAAAACCACGCCTAGGTGCAACTGTGACTAGATTTTTTTTTAATTTTTTATTTGCGGCCTTGATGTCAACAGCTCACAAAAACACCACATGATCGTCCACACCCAATGCACTGCCTCTTTACCATTTTTTCAGTCTGACTGTCAATGTCAAACATGACAACTTGAGAAACGTGCATACTTGTGGTATGTGCAGCTTTTACACTTCTGAGGAAATAATCTGCTCACAATCCCTGTGTGAATATGCTGACTTGCAGATGTGAATTTACAAAGAATTGCCTACCACCTGTGTTCAACAGGAAGCTTTCAGAAGATACGCTTTTCTAATTGATTCTCTGATGTATTTGCTTTTTACATGTTAACCCGCACGCATCAATAATACATTATAGCTGGCTGTTTTCCAAGCATTATATTTTTGAATGCATTTTCTCCTATTTTCAATATAAGCACAACTTTCCATTTATTTCATCCCAGTAATCACAGTGAACAATCTTATCCAGAAGGAAAAAATACAGTCATGGACATGACGACATGAATAATCTCTAGTTTGGGATCACAAAAATTTTCACTTAAAACATCAACACAGAGCCTCAACTACCACATAATGATAATAACTTTGATTAAAGGACTTTGTGATAGATTAATGAATGTTGAAACAATTCAATTAATTACTAACCAAACAAATTAAATAACTTAATTAATCGATTATTTAATCAACAGAAAATTAATCATAAACAACTTTTTATAGTCAATTAGCTGTTCATGTCTAAACGTGCATTAACAGGGATGTAACCTGAAACAGGTCTGAGTGGAGGCATACAACACAAGGAGGTGATTCTAGTATCTCTAGTATTCTAGTTCAGAATGTGTCTGTGTCATCCACTTTGATGCACAGTGACTCTTTGACATCAGATATCCTTTCTGATGTGATGTTCCACAGCCAACACAGAACAGGGTGAATTTTATTTTACTCTCAGGTGGTCTGTCATCTACAGCTGTATGCAAAAGTTTGAGTAAATTACACAATTTGCAGATTTTTTTTTAAGTAGAAAGAAGTAAATACAACCTTTGCAGCTAACAGATATTAAAAATTAGCCCTGTTTCCAATGTTAATGCAATGCTAATGTTTATTCAAGGAACTTAAAAAATAGAAACAAATCAAAAGGTTTGGAAACCCTACTAAGTCAGTACTTAGTAACCCCCACTTTGAGAAGATGTCACAGCAAATGAAAAAAGGAAAATGCAGAGTCTGTCTGATGTTTATTTAGGGATTTCCCCCCACTCCTCCTGCAGATCACCATCTGAGATATTTTTAGTTCTGTGTTGCACACACAGCATGTTAAAGATCTACCCACAG